ATAGATAGATAGATAGATAGATAGATAGATAGATAGATAGATAGATAGATAGATAGATAGATAGATAGATAGATAGAATGAGTCATTTTATGTTTAATTTTTTTTTTATTCACCTCTTACCAATCAAATTACCTCCTAAACGATTTATTCCTGCAGAAGTCAGCCTTCCATCGGCCCCAGACTCTGGACTACAGGAACGGCTATGCTCTGCCTCGGCGCCCCATTGTGGGGATTGGACAGGATCCTCTTTTATCAGAGCAGCTAACTCAACAGGACATCAATGAGCTTCACTTTGAGCCACCAGACTTTACACGAGGCCCTTTTGACCAGATAACATACAAAGACTTCATTCCTGCTCATGTGGCGCTTGATAAGAAGGTCTAGTAGCAATTGTCAAGACTGATACACATGACAATTAGTCAATTTTGATCAAAATGTCATTTGTCTGTTGTGCATCACCTACTTGTCTTGTAGGTGCTTCGCTTTTATGCGTACTTCACAGAGGACATCTTATATTGCCCGGAGGAGCAGTGTCGTGTACGCTCCGTGCTCATTTATTACTTCCTCGAAGATGACAGCATGTGCATTATTGAACCGGAGGTGGAAAACTCCGGGATACCACAGGGGAAGAGGCTCAAACGCCAGCGTCTCCCAAAGAATGAACATGGAGAGCATTACGAGTGGAAAGACCTCAACCTTGGTATGGATTTGGATGTCTACGGGGTCAAGTACCGCATCACACAGTGTGATGCTTTCACAAAGGTACAACAGCCACCTGTATGATAGCGCTTTTTTCCTCTTGTGGTTACTTTTGTGTGACAGTGGGGTGGGCTGTGGGTTACAATTTTGTTTTTCAAACTCTCTCATTCATTAAATAGGAATTCATGGAAAGTGAGGGCGTGGTACTGAACGAACCAGAGCAGATGCCAGAGGACCTTTATATCAAACGTCGCAAAATCATTGCACCTCAACACGTCACCCCTTCCAGCTTTGATAAAATGTGCCAGTTTCTCTCCATGGACCGAAAGGTTATTTAATTCCCTCTGTTACAAATTCCATTCAAAATGTGTTCACACATAAGAAGGACCACAAAAGTCTCACCTTTACTATTTATTTGGCAAACAAGAAGTGTGTCGTGTCTGAGATGTCTGGGGTTTTTGTCAGGTGCTCCGTTTCTTTGCCCTTTGGGATTTTTCTGACTGTCTGTTTGGTGACACCTTGGATGTTATCATTCACTATTACCTGGTGGATGACACAATAGAGATCAGAGAGGTCCATGAGCACAACAGCGGCCGGGATAACTTCCCCATACTCATGCACAGACAGAGAGTACCCAAGAAACTCAAATCAGGTATGAAGCAGCGCTGCGTCACTTTTTGCCCATGTATTTCATTTCCTTGAATCGACTCATTGTGAGAAAGCTGTGCCTTTATGAGCTGTGTTTTGGAAAGTACAGTCTTTTTGTGGTCAGATGCTATGTAACTTTGCTCTTTGTTCTCTTCAGAGACATTCCCTAGCTGTGTGTTGGAGGTAGCCGCTGTGGATGTAGCTGAGTACTACTCCCCCAAAGACTTCCGACTGGGTCAAACAATTGAGCTACTGAGCCGTCACTTTCTGTTGTTTGACTGTGACGTTTTCACCAAAGAATATTACCAGACGAACTATCCAGATATAGAGATTAAACCCATAGAGGTACAAAGGAAGGACAATGTGCTACAGGAGAACAGGGTGAGAAACTAAAAATGACGTCTGTGTTTAATGTCTGCACGAACTCAATTGCCAGCAGAAAACATGAGATATCTATCACGCTCTCTGATTTATATGGTCTGTACTTGCAGGAAATTCCACCATACAATGGATTTGGCTCTCTTGAGGACTCGCTTCAAAATTGTTTGTCTCTAAATCCTGACCCTCCCAAAGTCAACCTGTTGAAGATTTTTGAGAATGACGGCAAAGTTTTGCGCTACATTGCCCGGCTGGTGAGAAGCCATTTGCCTGTGTTTAAGCTGCCTGTCCTAGCTGGAAGCAGTGAGAGGAGCTCCTCAAACATCCTGGTCTTTTTATGTTCACAAACCACAATATCTGACCATTTATACAGAATCCATTTCAGACATATGGTCAACACTTGATGTGGGCCAGTTGTAAACCAAACTAAATGCATGTACTCTGTAATATGTTACGTTCCAGGAATCCCCAAATCCTGAAGATGAAGGTCGGCGTTTCATACTGTCCTACTTCCTGTCCAATGACATGATCAGCATTTTTGAAAAACCCACACGCAACTCTGGGATCATGAGTGGGAAGTTCCTGGAAAAGACACGTGTTCCTAAGCCAGGGTCGACTGTGGAAAATCCTGAGTTCTACTCACCGGCAGACTTTGCTATTGGAACCACTGTGGAGGGTAACTACTCTAGATTATTGTGTTTTTATACGTTGGCTTTCCAAATGAATATTCACTGTAAAATCCTCACATCTATCCAGTCAGTACCAGAACCTAAAAGCTCATATCCACACGTTTGTTTTGAAGTTTTCAGCCACCGCTTTGTGCTGACCGATGCAGACCTCTATGTTCTTAAATACCTGGAGTCCATCTCAAGCCAGATCCCTTCCCAGACGCTGGATTCTTTGAGAAAGAAGCTGGGGGTGGAAAAGACAAGTTGTCAGCCAGCTTCCTTCCAGTAGGTGTCACTCATTACAAATAAAAAAGAGAGACAAATATGAAAGGATTTGCATTTGTCTTTTTTAAGAAAAAAGGTGAAGCAAAATCACCTTCATATAAAGGAAGTCCTTTGTCCTGATTCTGTTGTTGTTAATCCATGGTAAGAAACATTGTAACTATAGAAATTAGGGGATTTACTCTGTGAGATCAGGCTATTATGAAATACAACTGTCATTGCTATTAAAGCATCTGACTTCAAAGTGTCCTTTTCCTGTGCGTTTGCTTTTTGTCAGATTTTCACCTGCATCCCCTCAGATTCATGCAAATAGAAGATCATTGGGCTGAGTGTCATGTCTCTAGAAGCATTAATTTGACATATGTGAAATAATTTGTTGAGACTTGCCTCAATTCCAATCATTATTCTAAAGATATTGCATCATTACCAGTTGTGCAATTGGGTTTTGGTGTGTTGAAATGCTTCTTTAAAACATCTTTTTCTAACCGTTTCTTTTTTCCTTACAACAGACAATTTCACAACTTGCTTCAGAAAGTTGTATGATTTAATAAAGGAATCAACTAAACTTAAAAAAAAACAAATGGAATGGCATGCGGTAATATCCAACATATGTACTTAATGAACATTTGATAAGTGACCAGTGACAAATATACATTTTGTTTTTTGCCTGATGGCTCACGTCAAACCATTTCATCAGAAATGCTTTTCTGTTCCAGTGGACCAGAGTGGGAAAAAAAAAAAAAAAATAGCAAATCTGGCTCAATAGTAAGCCAGAACAGCACGCAGGTCTGAGGATGAGCCTCCACGTATTCAACACGGCCACCGCGCCCGCTTAACATTTGATATCACTGCATACAATGGTGCGCATCTGCAGGCTGTGTAGAACAAAAAAAATACTGATACATTGAGAGGAGTAAATGTCTTTTGAGCCCAAGGAATTTCCTTGAATTTCCTTTTCCAGCATTCGAGCCTAAGTCTGCAGCAACTGAGTCCCTGCATCATGGCGGGCCTTTCTCAGTCAGAAGCTGGGGGGCAGGTGGCCGCTAGCTTCGCTGTCGTGCTGATGAGAAACCTCGGCTAGGGCTAAGACCACGGGTCAGGCCAGTCAGTGTGACATTTAAGGGGATTTGAGTTTCTTTGTCCGGGGTGAGACTCCATTCTCAGCTTTGAGAACGCCGTTTTCTTGGTGACCGACTAGCAGGGAGAGAGAGAGGGAGAGAGCAGGGAGAAGTCAGAATGTCTGCAGACGCAGCGCATGTCAGAGTCAGAGAATCAAGGTAAGCATAGTTATTTAGACTCACGCGAGTCCCTCTTTAGTGGCCGCAGGGGTTGTTTTGTGGCAGACTTCTTGCGAACAGCCTGTTCGTGTCTGAACTCCCTCCAGCGCCTCAGCTGGAACCGGATAAACTTCCAGAGTAGCCAAGATTGAGTCAAACAGACCAGCAGTAGAACTGTCATCCTGAAAAGGCCCCGAGGCAAGAACATTAATGCACTGCCACAACAAGGGGCACATTAATGAAACCGCTGCTGCTTTTTTTAATCATCAATGGAAAAATAAACACTTGGGTTAAAAAAAAAAAAAAAAAAAAAATTCAAAGCAGTTTTCTGGGTCAGCTTCCTCCATTTTGTTTTCCTCTTCCATCTGAGAAGTGTACCTGCTGCAGTGAGTACGTTTTATTCCCCTTGTGGAGAACAACTGAGACCTGACATCTGCCTTTCAAAGAAGTGAATTCATTTTGCCCAGTCTCAGACTCACCTTATCAGTACAGTGTTGAAATTGCCCATGTCCAAGTCCAGCCCCTGATTCTCAGCACGAGCCAAGCCGAACCCCACGGAGAGGAACATCAGGGTCAGCGTGGCCATCCGTGTGAACACAAAGCTCGCCGCCCACAGATCGAACCTCGAACGGAAGGGGGGAGCGCAACACGTTATCTCAGGACGTTCACCTCCGTGAGGAGGAGATTTTCACGCATGCGTTTCAGGGGAAAATGACTTACATTTTTTGATGGGTCTCATCGGTAAAGTACAAAAGTCTGGCAATGTGGAAGCCCAGCTCTGAGACATACTGGAGAAAGAGGAGTACCAGACCCACACGACTCAAACTGTGCAAGATAGAAGAGAGAAAGAGGAGTCAAAAATCATCTTGCTCTTTTTGCATATTTTACCACAAAAATGTACGAATAAGTTATCAAAAAGGCCTTTCTTGAGATGCTTACTTTAACAAATAGGCTGCTGAGATGTGCAGCAGATAAAGGCAGATGTACTGGAGCTGACGAGGAATCTCCTCCTGAAAAACAAACAGCCTTTATTTGGGAAAGAACCGGATTCTCAAACCTTGAGGAGTCGTCTTCTTTCCCCCCTTGTCCAACACAGAGATATTCCACAAGGCTCCCAAATGCAGACGCATAAACACAGCTTATCTGGTGGCTCTGCAGAACTCCCTCGGTTCCCAGGGCCTCCCAACTGACCTTGCGTACTTTCTGGAAGTAGAGCTCCGGCAAGGCATGGAGCCAATAGGCCAGCTGAGTGAGGTAGAAAAACTTCACCTGAAATCTAGAGCACAAACCGGCTCGAAAGTGAGATAAGGAAGGAAAACGTAGCAAAACACAAGTCGGTGCAATATGTATGAGACAAGGAAGTTTTTCTGGAAGTTTCTGAGAATAATTAAATGACTAACCTGTTTTGGCAGACCTGTTTTCTCCAGTGAAGTGTTAATCTGTTAATCTTTTTGTAGTTTAAGCACGTAAAGTAATCTGCTTTCTTTTTATTGTCGACTCTGACCACTGCTCACCGGCAGCCGCTCAAAAACTGTAAAACGAATCTGTGCTCTGTTCTAGACATCAGAAACAGGAGTGTTTTGGTAATGTCACGTATTCCCGCTCACGTTCTCTGACAGTCACAACTAAATAGGACTGAATCTTGGTCTTTAGGTGCCTGACATCTGCAGGAGTTTTCTCTGAATCTGTGATAACGGACCGTTACAGTGCAGTCTGAAGAGGAAGTGCTCGGTCACTGCACACTCAGGTGATTTCAAGCTTGTTTTCAGAGATGAGAATTTTTCAGTATGTGATATTATTCTTTTAATGACAATAGTGGTGTTATTTGGTACTCGATTTGTTTTGTGAATATGGCTTTTGAGAAAAAATGTAAAACATTTCACGCCGTTCACATTCTCAGATTTGTTTGACCAACTTTCAAGTTCTCTGAATCATTTAACTACACAAATGTAGGTTCTTGATTTTTTTTAAAGTCCCTGAGGAAAACAAAAAGAAAGATCTGTAGAAAATGACCATGAGGGTTAGTAGAAATTGTTTCACATTATTGTTTTGACAAATCAACTCATACCTGAGCTGTACATGAGGATAGTTCTCCCATAGGCTGCTGGGATGCAGTAGGTATCCTTCCTGAGTGAGGAAATGTACAACCAAAGGTTGGTGTTTTCATATGATATTTCGTTGACTAGGACGAGGTCACTTGAACCCATTATGGCCGTGAAATCCTACTTACTGTTATGAGGACATAAAAACTCCACACACTCGACACCAGGTGAAACACACACAGCTGACCCGACTCGTTAAATTTTGTGTTCTTGCTCTTCGAGAGGTGAAGACGTCGATTCACTTTCTGCAACGAGAACACCAGAACGCATTCTGTGAGGGCCAACGGATCCTGTCATGATGACTGACTCGGAGAGAGAGTCATTGTCAGGAACCGGTATTGCAGTAATACAAAAGTAGGACAGGAAGAGTCGGCCGACACTATTTCTGGCTGCAGCTTGAAAACATAATCCTTTCAAGACCACTTTAAAAAGTACAGCGACGGTGCTAAAATAAAACCTCATTCCTCCCTGCTGGGTTATTTCAAAAACAATGACACACAGGCTGGTGTTTAAGATAGATCAAACGATGCAGTCCTGTCTCTCAACCTGAGCAACTTGTGCCCGTTATTTTAATGTGAGATTCAAAACTGTCCCACGCTGTAAATCTAAAAAAACACAGTCCAAGTGGTGAAACGGCTCATATCCTGGTTTCAGTGCTCACAATGTAGTTTCTCATCAACAGCCGGCCGTTCAGTTCAGTAAGTAAGTAAGCCTTTAAATGTTTATTTTACAGTTTGAAATAAACATGGTGAAATGGGATTTTTCTGGGTCGGGCAAGAATTCATTTAACAAATCCTGAGAATATTTATAGTACTTTGGAAAATATCTCCCAATAATAAATATACTTTAAATTGACACTGACACAGGGTTTTAAATTGAACTTGGTTGCAAAATACTTTTTTTGTGGAATTACATACCCTCCTGGGACATGCAAAATGATTACAGAAATGAGGCCACTCTTGAATCGGAGCCAAAAATAAAGGTGCTTACATCAAGAAGATACTCCTGCACTACTGCGTGGAGGATGATGGCAATGAAGAAATAGAAAAGGATGGTGGCACCGTCCTTCCATCCGTAGTGATATGTAGTCAGTTCACCCTCTAAGCACACATAGGTGGGGTAGAATACACAAATTGTGAGCGGCCAGAAGCAACATATTCTGTTTCTTTAGTCACAACCCTGAGACAACTAGACAACGGCAAGATGTTCAACAGCAGCAGAAGTGAATCGGTGGCAACAGCGAATGATTTAGAAACCTATACATGTTTCTATCAATATAATAATGCTTGGCACCTCATACCTGGTGATAAAGTAGTGATATTGTACTGAGGCTGAATGAACAGTATGGCCGTCTTCGCTGTGGCCTGCAAAATAAACAAGAAAATCATAAAACTTAATAAATATGAGAGGAAAAATTACCAAATAAGGAGATATCCTATTTAGACCTTAATAAAACTAACAAACTGACATTGAAAGTGAGCAAAGATTTTTGCTAAATGGTTGCGTACCTCTGAAGAAAAAACAAAAAACTAAAGCAAAGGCCATTTAACAGTAAAGACCTTTAAAAACTAAAAGTGGGGAGAACAGAACATTTTCTTAGTATATTATTTTTTTTGGGGGGGGGGGGGTGCACTGAGGATAAAAGAGAGGTAAAGCATTTCAAAACACAGAAAAAAAACTATTTATGCATTGTTAAGACTTTAGAACAACCAGCATGTCCCACACATCCTAAAGAGCCATGGCTTTAACTACAGACAACTAGTCAATGTGTTATTTTCAAAAAATCCTGCCATCAAAAGTTAAAGAGAAAAGCAGTGAGGGCTTGGTTTTGAACGGCGTTAACTTAAGTACCATTTACTTTTATTGCACATCATTCAAGCTGCTGTTGTGGACTTTTGACAATCAACGGACTTGCTGTTTCTGCAGAACTAAAAAATACATATTGTCCAACTGAGATCCCCAGAGTGGCCCTATTGGCCCTGATTATATCACCAGCTCTGTTCGTTGCTCTCGTGCTTTTGTCTGCCATCAAAATGTCAGATTCATGTTTACATCTTAAAGGTCTATTGTTCTTTTTAGCGAAACGAGAAAAATGAAGGAAATCCCCTTCATAATTTCCACTTGGACCAGCTGTGTGACCACAACCAGGGTTCCGGGACTGAAACTTTAAATGCCCAGGGGGTGGCCTGAAACTGGTTTTAGACCACGAACGTGACTAATTTTGAGGGTCGCATATTTAAATCGTCCCGTCAATTAATATCTTCCGTAAAAAAATCCCCCAGTCAAATCTCTCTGAAAGGCAGATGGACCCACAGCGGTCAGAAACAGCGGCTAAAAAGATTGAGACGTGGCAGTTAACTAGTATCACGAAGTTAGCGACAAAAAGTAAGCTAACTTCCGCTAACGTGTTTCAGAATAATATCACTGAAAAGCGGACCCGTGTTACAACATATACACAGCAAAATCGACACTTTTAATCTGAAAAACCAGGTTTCACATTATAGAACGTTTTTTTTACTTTTTGATGTAGCTGACAAAGTTTGGCATGAAAATTTGCAGAAGACTGCTGGAAACAACTTATCGGGAAGTGGGTAAAACTTGAGCCTCTTTCTCACACACGACAAATAATACCTGTTTCAAAAGACAAAGTTAAGCGTTAAAATCATTGTTTCAATTCATCCACGTGAATGACGAAGGAAAGTTTCAGAAAGGCATGCATTTAAAGAACGGGCGCCAAAGATTTTCACATATAAAGCAACACACGGACCTTGCTGCTTTCAGGCGCATCTGTGCCGATCAGTTTTAAATAAATGTCGCTACTTTGTAAGCAGTGTAACGTTCATTGTTCTCTAAACTTGTAAGAAACTACAATAAGCACCCCACATATCTTCGAAACGGATGACGGTTCAACACTTTTCGGATGCAATCAAACAGGAAAACGTTTTTACAGAGCTTAAATCGATTCAGCCGCACAGGATAAAGCCACACCAGCACACCAGGAGCAGACTTGCAGCCTTAAAACAGCTGAGTGAGGCGAAGGAAGGGGAAAAGAATCAGAGTTCATCTCACCTCAAACATTAATCCAATCAAAATGAAAATCACCAAACTGAAAACGATGTCGGCATGGTTTTGAATTAAGAATTCCTGGCTGAAGAAAGGATAGCTCTTGTTCCTACGGCGAAATGCCATGTCAACTCAATGGAGTTTCCCTTGTGATTTTATAAAATCTGAATTTTTTCTGGCTACGAAGTTCAGGAGTTAACTTTTTCTGTGACTTGCGCATGCGCGTCGCCTTAAAGGGCAAGTGCCATAAATACCTTCTTTGAGGCATTTGCAGAATACGTTGGGTTCAGTCTACCATGACGTAACCTGTGGCTGAAGGCAATTAACAATTTTACACAAGTAGTGCACCTCAGTGAACTTTCAAACTTTAAAGTCACTGCTCTTTTTTAGAGCTAGGAAGAGAATAAGTAACACTGCCTCAGGAGAGATGAGCTTTATGAGATTCTTGCATTGAGGAACCAGCTTTGAGCAATTCTAAGCTAATTTGAACTGAAATAAAAAAAACAGACACCTTAACTCCACTCATCCCAACATGTAGGATGTTTATTGCTTATTTAAAGCCACCAGTGGCCTTTCACTTCACAGTTCAAAATGTCATATACATTAGGCAGTTACCTTGGTGCAAGACAAAGCACACCATCACTTCACTGCTTTGTTACCGGAATAAGGACAGTGAAGAGAAAACGTTTGTCCCTTTAGAAATAGCAATCAAGAGCACATAAAAAAGTCACAATAAATAACTAAACCATTTTTTCATTTAGTCTCACAGTAGGTGTTTGAAAGCTTTTTGAAGTCGTTGCCTGAGACATTATTGTTCTTTTCCAACACAATTCCAAAATACTTAAGCACTTACATGGTCAACATGTGAATAAATTCAAAACAAACAGTTTTCCTTGGATGATACACCTGCCCTGCTCCAAGCAAATGCCAGTTAAGATCATACAAAAATACAGCTTATTAATATGGGGGGGTGTTCAAATTTGAACAATAAATAAATAGTAAACAAAATTTAAAAAAAAGAAATCACAGCATCACAGCAAAATACATATGATACAGAAGATAATTGTGCTTTCTAATAGGCCAAAAAGCTCCAGCTTATACTGAGAGCTCAGATACTTTAATTTAAATCTGTTAGATCTATACAACTACAATCATTACAGTGACATGGACAACTGGCTGTTCAGCATGTATTAGGGATGCCATCAGTTTATTTAGATCAGCCACATATTCATAATAAGCTTTATGAGTAAAAATACACATACTAACTTATTGTGTAATTAGAATAGAAGAACCAGAGTTACTTTGTTGTACAATATAATGTCTGAATTTTATGCTCATAAAAGTGGCAAATATATTTCTGTAGATGTCAATTAGAAGTGTCTTAACTCCATAAATCAGCCTTGTTGGTAATACGCTCTGTAATTTTGCTCTTGATGTCCAGCAACATGAGGTTTTGCCCCTGTCTGTTGAGTATGTGGGCAAAGCAGTGCATTTAGGCTCCAGACGTGTACCTGTCACATTAGCTGTTGCTCTATGCTGTATTGCTAATAAATGTATATTGGCATCAAGAGGTAAATTAGTGCCTGTGTTTTCATCCCAAAACACAATAGATGATAAAGCTGGTGTGCACGATTGGTCTTGGATAGGCTGCGTTTGGCATGTCCCCTGATTTAGTCATGAGAAAGCTAGAAGTTATCATCGTCATCTCTGCGGGACATGATGAGCTGCCGCCGAGGACCTGTGAGATGAGGGACACTGGAGGGAGAGTCCAACACTCCAGAGTCCAGTTTCGGAGTGGAAATGCAGCGTGGGCCAACGCGGCCCATAAGGCCACGCACATCTCGGTGGAGGGCCGGGTCGCTGGGGATGGAGTTGAGCCGAACGCCCTGTTCCAGAGCTCCAAGGTCCCGATCCAAGCGGGGATTGCTGGCACTGCTGGGTGACTGTGGATCGGCGCTGAAGTATAAGGTAGAACTGGATTCTGTAGGGCAGAAATATGGCTCTGGACTGTCCCCAAACACGGACTTACCCTCTGGTGAGCTGCGCTTGAAGTCTGATGTGGGCGACTCCATGGGGCTCTCCATTTCCAGACTGTCTTCTTCTTCTTGTTCTTCTTCTTCAGGCTGCTCAGTTGATGTTGGTTCACTTACGCTCTGGAATTCGTCTTTGCAGTCCGAGAGGGGTGCCAGCCCCTTCCCCTGTGACTCAGAGGTGGAGACACCCTCACAGCTGCCTCCAGCTGTGATAGTCATACCCTCGTTACTTTTATACGCCGGGTTGTACTCCTCCATGTCTAAGATGGCGGCTGCTCCCCCAGCCCCATATGCCCTGTTGATTTTGCTGAGATCTCCTGTTTTTAGTGCCATACGGATCAAGAACCAGTGGTGGTGGTAGCAAGGGCAGGAGCTGTTGGGCCGACCTCCGCAGTCTCCCGGATGCTCCAGCAGAGACCCGGCCACGCCTGAGAGGGAGAAGCTGCCGTGGTTTTGAAAATGAGCAGCGGGCAGGCTTTTGTCCCCCAGAGAGAATGAAGACTCCCCCTGTTCGATGCATGTGCTGCCCATGTGGTGGCGGCTGGCGCCCTGTGAGATCTCTGTGGACTTAGGATGGAGGAACCGATAGTAAAGGACCAGAGAGATCGCACCTGTTAAGCACATGGAAAAGGAAAAAAAGATGAAAATCTTTGACCTGCCAAAAGCAATAATGCAAGTTTTTTGGTCCAAATCGCAATTGCAAATAGTTGCTTCCATTATTCTCTTTGGTTTCCATTTTACTACTAGTTTCAGATACTTACAGTCACTGTTTATACCCCGTTCTGTCTACCCTCTTCAAAGAGAAGATGCTTTGAACAACATCAATTATGTTAATGGTTTTGCTGCACTGAGAGCACGTAAAGGGCATGAACAGCTTTCTACTTTAATTAAACAGTAGTGTTGGTCTACTTTAAATGAGTTTTAACCGTTGTAAATCCCCCACTTGAGGTTTTGTCACTCAGATACAACAGAAAGTACTAGACAGTCTCCCACCAACGTCATAAATAGCGGACTGATTTCTCCAACAATGCGGATACTTAATGACTCACCAAGGAGAAAACTGCACAGCACAGTGGTGGGAAGGGTCATATTGTCCCACGATGCTTCACTCAGGAAGTCAGAGGCAGCCAGCAGCAGAGTGGCGTTCTCCACTAGCATGAACTGAAAGAGGAGAGAAGGTCACACCATCAGTCATCTGTAGACAGCTTTACGTCACTGCAAGCTGAGGACACAGAGGTGAGGATGACATGGCAAACTCTGTGTGTGTGTGTGTGTGTGTATGTGAGTTTGTGTGTGTGTGTTAGTTTAAGTTTGATTTTGTGTGCTGCTATCATTGTGGGCTGATATTCCAAAAACAAGTTGAGGGACCTGAACTTTGTTGTTAAGGTATATCTTACTGCATAAAAACTAGCCATGCGAAAGCGTGAGGGTCCATCCTTGACGTTGAGGAAGAGGAAGACGTGGACGAGCCCCATAACGCCATTAAAGACGCGCCAACACCATGGGCCGGTGCAGATGTCCGGTTGCTGTGATACCAGCCAGAAGGAGGCCGTGAGCCAGTGGAAACCTGGAGGTCGACACAAAAATAGACCACAAGGTGGAATCGAAGATGCAAATACAGTGCATAAAAAATAATGTAGAGGAGCAACACAGAATTATATAAATTTAAAACACAAAAATGTGAGTTTAAAAGGATCATCTTAAACGGTTTAATTTCCTGTTAATTTGTGTCATATGTTACTGTTATGCAAGATTTGTCCTTTTTTTTTGCAGAGCACGAGAGTCCCAAAGGACCTTGCTCCTCCGAGCTCACCTACTACTCCGCAGACCCACCAGTTGAAAACCCTGGCGAAGAACATGAGACAGGTCACCCTGGCGCCCAGCATGCCTGCCCTCCACACCAGCTGGCACAGGAGGGCAGCTGGAGGCATCGCCAAGTGGCCCGGTCGTATCAGACAGCAGGCTCGACTGTACAGAACCAGGGCCCAGGAAATGGACAGCACACAAAAGCCACAGCAATAGGCCACTGAGGATAAAAGACAGGCAAAGCATTAAAAAACACACAGTAAATACGTCATTGTTTAAAAACACCAGCCCGTCCCACACATCCTAAAGAGCCATTGGTCTAACTACAGACAAGTTTACCTGGTGACATGATGCCCACATCAGTGGACACCACAACATATGCCTGCAGCAGGCTCTGGGGCAGCGTAAGGACAAGGGCTTCCAGCATCCAAAGGGCAGCAGCATCTGCCTGCTGCATCACAGCGGCTCCAAGCTCAGCCACCGAGCCCTGCGAGCGCAACACAGACCTCATGCAGTCCCACAGCCTGCCAAAAGAGGGAGATACAGATACAGGTAACCTTCTCAGAAGGGTCTCAGTCCACAGAACTATGAGAAAACAGATTTTCCTCTCTGCTCTGACATACACTCTTTATGCCACCAAATATACTTGTTTAGTTTATTTCCATAGAAAATCCCAGGATAGGTGAATGACTCTGATCTGAGTTACCTTTTGAAGATGCCCAAGTGCAGTATGTGGATGACAGAGAGGTAGCACCGCCTGTCATCACCATCATCATAGTACCATTTCACACTTAGCAGTTGAACTGCTGTCCCTGGAAGGAAGAGGCCAAGTGTGAGGCCCGCCCACTGCGTCTCCTCGTTCCAAAGGTAAAACCCTATACAGTAGATCACTTAACACACACAGGGAGAACAGGCATTTAGACCGGATGAAGTATCAAGTGTAAGTGTGTCAAAAACAGTGTGTCAGAATGATCGAAAGGATCATAAAGTTATCGACAGATCGCTGAAGTCAAATGTTGACACAGCCTTCAAATATTTGGTTGTTAAATAGGACTAATGCGTGGCTGAAATTGCAGTCTTTTCCGGGAGCTGAGAAGTGTTCAGTCCATGCAGCAGTGCTGTATTCTAACATTCAGGAAACAGTATACTTACTGGGGACAAAGTCACGCATTGTACACATGCAGCCATCTCTCTGAAACCCTGACCTTGCTCTATTGATCTGCTTTTCAGGGAAACATACAGTACTGTGCTGCTCAGTGTTTTCAGCTTTGACTCCAGATGTGCTTTATTAATAACAACAGTCAGTACCAAAAATACTTCTATATCGATTTCATACGTGTTTTCATTTAGCAGGTCAGTCTTGTCAGCATCAACCATAAACGTGTTCATGTCAATTGATCGTTTATTATCTTTTAATCAATAATGGTTACGGGTTAAGTCCCACAACGTGTGACCCTGGGGAATGACCCCCTGATCTTTGCACCAGAGTCCCAGATTCAGGTGAACAATGCATTTTCAAAAGTCAAGCAAGGTTTCCCCAGATCCCCGGTAATGGCTGTGTGACAGCGTCGCGGTTGGAATTCGGTTTCCACCTGAGCCGCGGCTGGCGGAGCTCCAGCACAAAGCACCGATACAGAGCAGCGACCTAGCCTATTCCCCTTTAGCCCAAGCCCAAAGGGGGAAAACCCCCACGCTCTCCCTATCGATTTAAAAAAAAAAAAACGAATTCAGTTTCAGAGGGCACACCGACAAACTAAGCTCCCGGCAGCGCGTGGCAAGTCTGTGCCCACTTACGAGCGGTCCTTTCGGCCACGATAACCAGCCCCGACACGCCGAGCAGCACCGCCTGGCACCACGCTATCCAGCAGCCGCTCCGCCGGGCCGCCGACGGCATCCTGCGGGCCACCGCCCCAGCGGCGGCGTTTATCATGTCGCGGAGCTGCGGAGGCGAAAACACACCACTGACATTATCCCGGGCATCCTTCACCTAGGTTACATCCGCTCCCTTCTTCTTCTTCTTATCCTTCTCCTTCTTCTTCTTCTCCCGCTCCCTGCCCCCCTGTCAAAATACATGACGTCATAGGACGGTTTAAAGGGGCATCCACTCCTGACGGCCTGCGTGGCGCGAGCCTCCACTGCTCGCGCCCCTCCTGCTCTGCTCGAGCTTTGTCATTGCGATAGTCATCTCATTAGTGTAATATAGTAATTAACTGTATTAAGCCAGACACAAAATTCCCAATATTCTTTCCCATTCATACAGATCATTAGTCACTTTTAATGCCTGTTTGGTAATTCTCCCTCAATTCCTCATCCTCCAAATGAGACTCTCAACAGCAGCTGGGAAGCCCTTTGTCACCTGATCCGCTGTGTATCATGGACATCGATGGAGCATGTTCTGTAGTGTCATTGGGTGGCCACTTTGAACCTTTAGAGACCTGACACCCATTCTGGTTTTGATGACAGTATCAGTAACGTGCTCTTGAAGTTACAGTGTTGTCTCCTCTCTGTGATGCTCTTTTTTATACTGTCATGCTGTCTTGGAGTTTTCATATTTTTATAACTTTTTATTTTTATTTTTAATTTATCCTGATTTGTATTTTCACATTTTAACAGCACAAAGTGCTGTTACTTACTGGTTGTGAATATCCAAGACTCATAACAGGATGTTTATCTGCTTCATCAACTCCCAACATGAGCAGAGCACAGTCACACAAAGAGGTATATGTGCCATGCACAAACAATTGAGGTTTCCTCTGTGTCGTCACTTTATGGCTTGGCGCATTTACACATTACCCAGTCACACTTGTTCATTGTCACTGTCACCTATTAGGGAAATAAATATGAACACGTACACAGAGAAGAACATTCAGTCTTACACTGGAACCACAAAGGCAAAACATTATGAATAATCACATGTTTTATTGTTTTTCCATCAAGATAATTCAGAGTTACAAAGAAAATAGTAGAAAATATCGCAATATATTTGTTGGATTAAGATTTGCAATAGAATAAATTAACAAAAATATCGGCATTAAATCAGTAAGTCAACTTTCCTGGGCACTGCTGGCAAAATCTTGTGTCTTGTCTACAGTCCCTGTAGAGTGTAGGCTAGCCAATCCATGATTCAGATGAGGCTTTACTTCAAATAGGGCAGTGACAGACAGCTGCCTAGTTGACCTGTAAGGATTATTTGGTTGGATTAGCAGGCAGTCTTAAGTCTTTGAAATGTAGCCTGACTCCAGCTTGATGCTTGCTGGTTTCAGGCACAGAGGACTGCCGTGATGCCGTTGAGCACTAGAACACTCCTTTGCCGATCTGTAAACGCTCAGCTTTCTCTCCCCACTGGCACCACTCTGGTGGTCTGAGACATGAGTCTTGATCCTCTGAATCAAGTCAACAATATTCCCCTTATCCATCTCGGCCTCTGTAGTCATGACCTCGAGCTGCTCTGCAGTTTCACTCATGTCAAACCTCTCGATCTCCGAGTTGACGCGCTGTAGTTCCTCTGGCGAATGCCTGCGGGAGGCCGAGGGGGAGAGAGGGCAGAAGCCTTGGAGGTGCACCTGCAGGCTGCAGAGGTGGAGATACGCGCAGGGGCAGCGAGGGCAGCGGTGGGGTCGCTCCCCGGTGTGCAGCCGTTTGTGGAGCTTTAGATGAATGAACTGAGTAAAGCGGGCCGGGCAGAGCTTGCACTGGTAAGGCCTCTCACCCGAGTGCAGCCGCTGGTGGGTCTTCAGGTTGCTGGTGCTGCTAAAACGCTTACGGCACACCTGTTTCAACATAGAGGAGAGGATATGTGTGTATGAGTATAATTTGCTATTTGGTCTTTTGTTCAGTTTCTTCCTTTGTTCTTTTTTATCATTTTTTTTGGTCTTCATAAAAAGTTGGTTCAAGTTAGTTTCCTTTGTTTTTGCTAAGTTAGTTTGAAAGATTTAGCTATTTATTTTAGGTACAAATGAAAAAATTCTAAAAAATAATTTTCAGAAGCTGTAAGCCTACCTTGCACTCATGGGGCTTCTCTCCTGTGTGGACCAGGTAGTGTTTCTGGAGGTGTGCCAGCTGAGTGAAGTTCTTGTTGCAGGTCTGACACCTAAAGGGACGCTCGCCACTGTGCACTCGCAGATGGACCTGAGAACGAAATGTTAGCACAAGTCAGCACACCACTCTCCCGTCACAATAGGAAGAACATAAAGAGCCTGAATGTAATTTGCTTCAAATGATGGTGACCTGCTAACCTTGAGGTTGGACAGCTGCCCAAAGACCTTTCGACAAATGTTGCACTCATACCGGATCTTTCCATTCTGTCTTGTCAGGGGATAGGACAGGGTTTTGTAGCCAATGAGCTGCCCCTCTCGCTTCATCCTCCTCAAGTCCATTGCATCCCCATCGCTGCCTTGGGTGTCAGAGGAGGTTTTAGAAGAAGGGTAGTTTGGCGAGGCTGCCATGCACACTGGTGGGGAGCATGGCCTGGAAGCAAGAGAGGACGATACTCCTCGGAGTTCTGTGTCAATGGGTGAGGCTCTGGCCTCGGGAGATTTAATAAGGTCTGTGTGAACTGTGCTGCTGGCATAATGCTTATCATCTTTGAGGTCACTTGAGGGGTCCTTGAGGTAGTCGTTCTTTTGGGTGACCAGGTCCTTGCAGTCTTTTTGCTCTGTGGTTGGTGAAAGAATGAGATCTTGTTTGGATTCAAATGGTGCAAGTGTCAAGTTTTTGCACCCACCTGGTAAAGGCTGTAGCAAGTGTGCATAGTGGTCATAAGGCAAGAAATTTGATGCCAGGTTCAAGTGAGGCTTCAGCTGATCATTGTAGAATGGGTATGAAGGAGGTAGAAAGCCAAATGAGTAGTGAGGCAGTAGATAGTGACTGTGCCTTAGAGCAGAATGAGCGTGGTCAGGCACAGAGGTCACTTGGTGAGGTTTGGATTTGACAGGGGCTTGACTGTGCTGAAAGCTGAGGTGCAAATGTGAGGGAACAGGGCCACTCAGTGCTGGCTGTTTGGCAGCTGGAGGAGTGCATGAGGGCAGAGATGACATAGGCGCATATCCGTGACCCCTGATAGACTCTGAGATGGGCTGGATTGGGTAGACAATGCTGGGGCAGAGGGGAAAAACAGGTGGGACACGGGCCTGAGACAAAGGATTCCCCAGGAGTCTGTGGCAGGAAGACCAGGAGTTGGAGGGCTCATCTCGGAGGATCTCAGAGACACTGTGTCCACGTTTTGCTGTGGTGTTCTGGTGAGCTGGCTGTTGTTCTGTTTGACGAATAAAGAGACAGGATAGTCAATTAATACAGTTGTCTGTGTTAAGTCAGTTTTAAGTGCATTTTCACTCAGTATGGTGAAATAAACACAGAGAATAGGATACAATGATTAACTGAGATTATAAATGATCCCCAGATTTCATCCAAACATTTAAAAAATCTTAGTGAATTTAAAAAGAAGCATTATAATACAAAACACAGTTTCTGAAGAATTCTATTCACAGGCTAATGTAACGACTTCTAAATCTATACTCTTATCTTGTGTGAACAAGCTAGATCCTGGATTGTATTTGGACATAGTCTGGTTTCCTGTTCCTGTTAAACCAGACTAAAGGATTCAAGTGAGCAGGGTATGACAAAATACGGAGGTGTGCTCATTCATTTCGCCTACATTGGTAAACAGGTTATTTGAATTCCCAAACATCAGCTGAGGCTTTATCTTTGGTTGGCTCCCTTGTTTGTCCCCCCACCCCATTATCCCCCCCCCCCTGCCCCTGCTCTTCGTGAACAAACAACCAACACTCACTGAGATATCAATCTGTCAGTGGGTCACCTTGTCAGGAAGTTCAAGTAGTCACTGGAGTGCTTCCTACCTCTCTTCCTCTTTAAGAGCCAAACAAATAAGTGGAGTTGTGCCAGAAAGTAGTCAGCACCTCCATCAGCCAGCAGTGTGCAAATTAGTATTTTGGTATGTGTATGGGATGTCTCAGGTAATGGTCATTGAATGTCAGTGAATGAAAATAAAATGTTACAGGTGAACTAGCAGCTGTGTTGTTTAACAAATGGAAGCTGAAATGCTGCCTAAAATCCTTAAATTGGTCTCATCTTACTCTGATACATGACTGCACCTGTAGTCAGCCCCTCTCTCCTTTCAGGACTCTATCATCCTCCTTTGTGCTCTGTTTTAACAAAGACACTGTGGGTGTGGCTGAGAAACTTCTTAAACAACCACACAAAGAAGGTGTCAGACGGTAATGGTTCTGATGGGGAACCTTTAACAGTGACAGTCCAACATGTATGTGTCTCTGCTATGGACTCAGGGATGGTGTCCATTAGTATCAAAGACAGTAAGCTGGATAGAACGCACATGCTTACCATTTCTGTTAACAATCTGTTGTTGGAGGGGAGGTAGGCCGCAGCGCTGAGCAAATTCTGAGCAGTACCACACTAGGAGCTCCTGCCCCGGCTGAAGCGGTGTGGTAGTGTAGAAGAAGATGTCCAAGCCGTTCTGACATGCAACCAGGTTCTGTTCCTCGACCGCACGCGCTTTGTTGACGTAGCGCATCCAGTTGCTCTGCTGCTCATCCCAGCAGTCAACGATGTGGTGCGAACGTCCCTCCAAGAAGACCTACATCATGTGAAAAAATAATTACCAGCTAAAAGATCACTCAGTTAATGGATCCATATACTCATTCTGAAACCATGATGTAATAGTTTCCCATAGCCTTTAAACATTCATTAACAGATGAAGCTTTCAGCTGAAATCGGTGCTGTGGGTATTCATATCATCAAGCGCTGAGAGAGAATTTCTCTGTATGACTGGATCATAGTATTGGTATCTCACCAACCACTATTGTCTGCTGCCATGTTTGTTATGGAGTTGTTTTCTGCCAACCTTTAAAGCTGTCAGAACCTTTGAAGCCGCATTATTTCCTGGGTCACAGCTAACGCATAGCTTGTGTTTTGGCTGTTGCATGTGCTGGGGGTTACAATAAGTCAAGGCTGCTGCCTGTAAGCTCTAGAATCACACAGGAGGGTGACTGTAATGGAATATGCCCTGATGCTGCTGATTTGTTAACATCACTGCTCTCGGGGTTTAAAGCCACTTCCTTGCTTAGTCAGTGTGAGAGTTAGTGAGTCTGGAGAAGCGCGGACATGTGCATGGTGTATTTACTGGCAGTGATACCATTGCTGAGAGAAACGGCAAGAGAGGATAACCGCTGCGTCACTGAAACCAAGACGCTGCGCGTGTGTGCACGCGTGTGTGTGTGTGCAGTGTACAGAGCTGGTAAAAAAACAACCTTGACATATGCGGCACATACAGCAGTCAAGCCGCAATAAGCAATACCCAATGGCAAACTTCGACAGGATGTCAGTTGATGGCCACAACGGCAGACCTGTGCCACGTCACAGCTACAGCCGTGTCTCCAGCAGGACAGCGACACACACACACATGCAAGTCTACAAATTTCACATACGAGTGAAGAGATCCGTAGTCTCCCATGTTGTTCACTTACCCTCCAAAGGTGTTTCCTGCTTGCATTTTTCAGCACTTTTTCATTGGTGGAACTTTCCCCGACCAAGGGCCCAAAACGAGTCCCCTTGGGAATCAGCTCCTTACTGATAACTCCAAGTACCTGTACAACAAGGGGGGACAAGGAAACATCAAACAACATACTGGTTAACATAATGGAAGGCCAGGGCAAGTTCTCTGAGTTGAATCACGTGACTGGAGAGAAACAGTTAGTGGGAATATTGTTCCATCCTCTGGCACCTTTCATAGTGATTAACTAAAAGAATAGTGTCCATTAAAATTGAATGAGAAGAAAAGCAAATAAGATACAATTCTGTTTGCACTCATAATGATTGTGTTGCAGTTTGGTGTGAAAAAACTTTCAAAATTATATTAAAAACAACAGAAAAAAAGTAAGTAGCAAAAAACTGTATTTAGTTTTTCTTTAAATATATTATTCAGTAGTTGAGAATATTTCTGTCTGAGTGTATCCCTTCCTTTACACGCTGAATAATTCATAAATGTGACTCCAGAGTTATCTTCAGTTTCTGTACCTTATTAAAATTTCACCACTATGCTTGTTCTGTTTCCTACAGGTGTGAAACTCCCTCCTCTTCCTCTAGGCTCCAGGATGAGGATGAGTGGATAAGGTGTCATGGTCACACCCTGGACAGTTAACAGCACATTAGCTCTACGTTGAAAAAGCAAAAGCCCTAAAGCAATGGTAATGTGTTCTCTTTTTCATCTCTGAGCAATAGCACCAACATTTACGTTGCTGCAATACTTTTTAGCTCAGCAGTCAGAATTCAATATTTCAAACATGTTTGCCCTTGATCATGTTCCAGATTATGCAAACAGTTGAAATTCTTTTGTGTCAATCAGTCTCTGAAGTTGAAATACAGGTATTAACTAGCTACTTCCTGTATACACGCTTACATGACGTCCTATATTAAAAAAATATGTCCTATACTTTTGTTTGTCATCAACTTTTTCTTCACAACCTGTAGATTAATGTCCTATCAGGCTCATGTTGGAATAAAAGTGCTCAACCTCATGTTTTTTAATTGTTTTTTTTTTTTACGGCGCTGTTTTCTGCTGGAACAAAGCGATAGGAATCTAAGATAGCTACTAATCACAGTGTTCAGGCTGCAGGGCTTGGCTATTGTCTCTGTGTTTGCCTCAGTGCACACATAGCAGAGAGGAAAGGCTCAAATTAGACAACAACATGTCAAGAACTTCCCGCCTAAGGATGGATGAGAGGATGGAAGGATGTTGGCGTGACGTAAGGAGTTGGTGGTTAAGAACATAAACAAGTGCTGCAGATTTACTTGAATATTTAGAATTTTGGGATTTCACTCTATCATGTGTTTTTATATACAAAAGAAAGGAACTATTTTTAAAGCTCCAAGTGTAGGAGGTGCGTTTTGTTTACCTCTGTTGAGTTGTGGCGGCGTTTTAGGGCAAGGTTTCTGGGCAGTGATCTCTCAGCTCGTGTCTTGCCACAATTTTCGGATTCTTCCTCCAGATTCTGGTCGTTCACGATGTAAGTGCACTTCTCCTCAAACTCTGGCTCACTCCATGATGTCATATCTACATCCTCTGTCCCCGCCATTGCCGTACTTATGACTCCTATTCTCTGTGGAGATTTCTCTGAGGTCAACATGGTTGAGCTGCATTCAGAGCTGCAGGCCTACAGAACAGAATCAGCCGTTAAGTCATGAAACCTACTGTTACTTATTTGCCACTAAATTACCGAAAATAACATCTGACAGAAATGTAAGAGATCATTTTGGCAACACAGATGTGTTCTCCCTCACACACTACTGTCAATATCAGCATCCACTTGACTATACCATTTATTTTAATCATTTTTTCATGCCACGATTCAAGGACAGACAATACTGATGATACAAACAACAGCTGTGGTGCTAAGGGAAGTCAAGTTTTCAATGGAGCTAAAATTAGGTTCTGGAGTGTGAAATTACGGTGGTGCAGACAGTGGCTAGCTGGACATGAGAAGTCAAACTTTCCCATTAGTTGCTACTGCCAAACAAACAAACTTTAAAATAAGAACTAATTTGCTCACCACCCCATTGGCCCCACTGTTTCACACATCCTGTGACTCTCCCAATCACAGCCCTGAGGCTGTATGGGAGGTTTCTATGCACGTCAGCCCCGAAGCAGGACCACTTTCACAAGGAAACAAGCACTCCCAGTGAATCAACCAGACTTCCTCTGAACTAACTGAGACTTGGCTCACAGCCAGATCTGAACGCTCTTTCTCTTTCTGTCCGTTGCACGCTCTCTCCGTTGTTCAAAGAGATCGTCGCCGGGTAGCTCAGCCTGACAAAAGAGGAGTGCCTTAACTGATAGGATAAAATAGTGAAATGGAGAAGCTAAAAGAAGATGGCCTGTTTGTGATTGAAATACAACAAAAATAGCTTCCTCTTTATTAGACTCATCCATTTGCTGATGAGATCATGATTGATAAGCTCTGGGCTTGGCAATATTTGGTAAGCAAGCATGTGACTTATATTCCCTGCTGATAAGATTAATCTCAACAGCAGCATTAAAGTAAAAATAAAACCAAAGCATACGATGGATAACATTAAAAAAAAACACATACGTTTTCAGTTTTTGACACAAGATAAAATGATATTTTACAGTTTGATGTTCAACTGAGAGCTGAGACGGTTCATCAGATATCTTTTAAAAATCACCAACACACTGGTACATTTCTACAATAATAGCACACATGCTCCAATATGAAAGTTATTACTTGGAAGAAAGAAGTACTGATAAAGGTAATAAAGGTGCGTAGAGATAAGATTTATGCATGACATTTCATTCTATTTTTCTCTGAAGTGTGTCGCCACAGCTGACTTGGAATGACTGTCACAAGTGTGACATCTCACTCTGAAACCACTGAAGCTAGTGACACAGCAGAAAAATATGCCCTGAAAATCAAGATATGAGTCAAAAGCCACAGCTGTGTCTTACGGGCAAACATGTAACAGACTGACTCTAGAAAGCGCACTTTTTACGATAATCTTAAGAATTCTATTCTTAGGACAGTTTTGCACAATATAGAGCAGATATTGCTTTAAAACAAAATTACCAACAACATGACAACATTTCTCAGTGTTAACAGTCAAAAATCAATAGTACACTCTCATTTGTATTTTCAGATGGATGTTGCTCACTTACTGTGAAGCCTTGAGAGGAGCCACACATAGGGCAGGCTGTCTGTGCCCTCCTTTAGCTCGAGTGTCAATGATCAACCAGTGGCTGCTCTGTCCCGTCTCCTCTGTCTCTCACCCAACCTCAGTATCTTGTGTACCAAAGTGTGACTGACTACGCAACTGAACACTTGAGTGTGGAGGAGGGAAGGTGTGTATCTAAGCGTGTGAGAGAGATACACTCCCTTTCCTCTCATGCGCCCTCCCCCTACTTGTCATTCTCTTGCCCCAGGGGTGAGAGGCTTTCTCCAAGGGGGGTGTGCAGGCTGTCACACAGCTATGTCCGGATCGCACAGACACATCTTCATGTTCTGACAGTCGTCTTCTCTTTCTGAGCGCAAAAACAAAACAAAACAAAAAAACGGAAAGAAAAGGCATACCTGTGATGTGTCCGCATATCAGAGTCTTATTGTTGAGCTCAGCCTTTTAGTATTACCAACTACAAGTGAGAAGAAGTTCTGCAAAGGAGTTGAAATGTCAACAGGTTGCGTCATCCTTCTTGAGTTTAAACTGATTTAACATCGAAATGTGTCCACATACAGCTGCGAGATGAAATATTTCCAGGCTAAGTGTTGATTGTTTGACTCACTCACACAGTCGCTGACTAGGAAGACAAAAGATAACGAAACTTTAGCTTGAAACCATGGAATGTTATCTTTGAACATCAGATGTAGGACATAAAAGCACAAAACAAGAAAGTTTTCTCTCTTGAATAAAAGAATATCAGACAAGTGTCTTGTGCAACTGTTAAAGTATTGAGAATGCTTTTGAGAGATGGCGGACTGTTAACAAAGGATTTCACTTGAAATTGAGAGTTTTCCTCCTCTTCCAACAGCTTGGATCAACTTAGTTTATTGATTTGCTCAGTTCAAGACATTATTAGTTTCCAGTTTTGCCTGTGAGCAGTAGATGTGAAAATCCGAATGAGTCAATGCTGGTTTCAGTTCTGAATGTTCGTCTGTAGCTCAGTTTTCACACCCAGCCTTAAGCTCTCCGACTCTTTTCTATAGAAGCAATATTTGTCTTGGTAGGCTGCCAACCACTTCAGGAATTGTCAGAATTTCCAGTCGTGTCAACCACACGTTTGACACGTGCCTCACTTTGATAAAGCAATCATCTGAATTCATTCCCATTTATGGGGCTTTAATCATATGCATTATTGTCATTCACTTTCTCCAGTTCAGGGTTGTTCATATTACACCACATATGGAAGGTGGACTGTGTTCCTTGAGAACTCTCCTTAATATTTGTGGTGTTTTGGCTTTCCGTTCATGCTTCCTGTCCCTCTCACCACACCTGACCAAGATACTAATTATGACTGCTGACATGAGCCGCCATGTAATTTAAAATCTTCCTCTCTCTGACTGTGGCGTTGCCTTCAGTCATCTCATTCATCACCTTCTATTCAACTCTATTCTCCACCTCCTCTTCCTCTCTAATGCCTTTATCTGGATCTTATCATCCATCCATCTCTTGCTCAGAGGTGTTGCGTGAGTAATTCACATAATGACAGCATGAACTTTTAGTCTGAGTCGTTCAAAAGCCTTTGGACAGAGATTACATTTTGGTCATGAGGTGAATGTTTTTGAGAGTGTTAATCAATAAACGGCATAAGCCCACATGGCTAGCTGGAAATAGGTTTATACTACATGAGGTTTTAAATTCCAGTCTTAGAATGGCAGGATGATGAGCTGAAATACTTAGATGCAATGACTGGAAGTATTAAGAAATGTAATTTGCCCATGTTATAAACGCCAAGAAACCTATGATCAGCGCCTTATTTTGGGATAGTGTTCTCATCCGCTGTGAACTGTCATAAAAGGACAATACCATATCAAATCAATACATTTCATCCACAGGTTGTAAGGCTCGAATAATCTTATATCCATTTCACAGTCACTTATGTGAAAAAGGAAGTTTAGATTTTACAAGAAGGGCTGAGACCGAACAGTTAATCGGCCGTAAATGCAAAACCTGAGCATAGAAACTGGCAGGTACAAGGGGACCGAGTGTTACGTGAGGCCCCTGTAAATAGTATGGATGGCTTTAGCTCTGTAATTTCCATGCTTCAGTCTGTACCTGCCTGGGGTCATTTCTCGCAGAGGAGAGAGCTAAAGGCGACCACTCCTTCCTTTTCATCTCCCCCAAGGTTGATCCTTAGAGCGGGTGATTGACACTGAGCCCATTTTATAACCCATTTGAGCTGAAATGTCTACGAAGCCTCCGCCTCTTTCTTTCTTTCAGTTTTATGGCTCACTAAAGGAAAAATATTTTGAATTCTATCACGGTCATCTTGTTGTCACACTCCCCTACTCTCACCCATGTCGCCCTGTCATGCTATGCTTTTATTAGCTTGTCAGCTACGTCTGTCTCTCCATTCATTTCATGTTTGTAAGTGATTTCTTTTCCCTTCCATTACCCGGCATTCTATTCAGCTCGTGGTTGAGAAATCACTCATTTGTGCATGTATTTCCTCCAGTGTTTGACAGTTTGATTGTGGTCAAATTAGCTTTATCGACACGACAGGAGAAATGGGAACTTAATGAATGTCACACGCCAGGTATTAATCCATCTTTTTTCTGTTCTCTTATGCATTTCAGGTGCGACTGTGACCGAATGTCAGCACTTCACCACCCCAACCACCCACTGAGTCCATCACCCGTCTCCACTCAGTTGCTGGATGATCCCGTGTTGACAAGTCAAGAGTTATTATCATGGTTTCAGGGCAGAGAGGAATTCTGCCGCACTTCCAACAGATGTCTTTTTGAATCCTTAAAAAAACCACCCACAAAGATGAGGAAAGAGGAGTATCACTACACCCAGCTGACCGACTTATAGATTCTGGTAACCCGTGACTAATGGCTCAGGCAAAGCTCTGACTTCACAACAAGGATGCATGCATGCCTGTAAACACACACAACACCTGTTTTTCAAATGTATATCCGGTGCTTAATGAAATATTTCAAAGGTCAGTTATATGCTGAGAAAGTCTGAAGTGAGGATGTCTCAAAGTTGTGTCCAAACTTGGTAAAATAACGTTTGTATTGTATTTGGTTGCAAAGTAATAGTGAAACTACTTGTGACACTAGTAGCGTAACTAATGTTATTATGTAATCAAATTCATATAACCATTTACAGTTTAATTCTTTTAAGACAAATGTTAGCAGCCACAGCAGTACAGTATGAAACATGGGTACCAAGCAGAATATAACACGAGGAAAATTGATACAATAAGATGTGATATGCGAAGCATTTTATGCTACTGACCAGAGTTACATTAATTATTTCTGATAAATTCAAGTATTTGTTCACAATGACAGTGTTAAAACTGTATCATATTTGGCTCTGTTATGCATTATTAGAATGTTTCTTTCCAACTTCACATCATATCCCATTTCTGACGATGGATTTTAACATATATCAAGACAATTTTAACCGCCTGCACGGCAATAATGGCTGTGGCAGTTGGCTCCTCCCACATTTTGTGGTCCAGACTTGCTTTAAACGGCATGCACTAATGCGATTGATGCAAAAACATATATTCATCATTCTCAGTAGTCAGGTTGTTGGCCTTTTTTTTGTAAATGTCAGCAACAATGTCATCATGCTTTGACTGTCATTCTGACTGACACATCATTTAGTGAGGATATTATGGTTCGATAAAGGGTTTCATAAGATCTGAGTGGCGGGGTCCTCATCAAACACTCGCTGTGCTTGTAAAATCTTTGGCGTAATTGTATTTCAATAAACATATATACTGTAAATACACACATATACACATGTATATGTGTATACATATATATGTCTATATATATGTGTACCTCTTGTTTGTTAAGTGGAAGTACAGTCTTGCCCTGAGAACTCGGCTCACTGTGGTTCACCCTTGATTTCATCACTCTTAAAATACGTGCACCTTTTCTGGGTATTTGGTTTCCTAAGAAGTACTTCCTTTTTCTCATTTGCTTTTAGTTTTGTGTCGCCTATATACCAGTCAGTGAATCTCAGTGGAATACCACTACTTATGTAAATTTGGTTTTCCTTGTTATGACTGAGACCCCAGAATGTGTTTAGCAATTACATTGTATCTGAGTCATTCCACTTAAATGACTAACTTTTAAAGTATTTTTTAAATACTATGCTATAAATCAGAACTGTTCACATTGAGTGACTTTATACACCGTAAATAAAACCAGTCATGTTCGGTGACAGAGAAACTATGCTAAACAATAAGAAAAGGAAAAGGAGGTTGCACACTGGATCTTTTGGTAAGAAGCTCTGCAACAAAGGAAGTGTAAGACCCTCCACACCTGACTGTAACAAAAAAAAAGTTTCTGACATTGTTTAGTCTTCCTCTTGACTACTAAGCCAGACAATAATAATGGCCACAGAGGGGACACGTCATCCAGGAAGGATGCACACAATTTGTGCACATGCTCATTGACACGAACACTCTGAAGCATCCTATGGAGATTATAATGTTCATTCAGCTCAAAGGAAAGAATGTTTTTTAGGCAAATAACAAATCAACATTTGTTTGAGAATGTGGGAGAGTGATTAAGTGTAATATATCTGTTTGCCTGTGGCTCTGCCCTTTCACATCTCTCTGTTTTTCTGCAGCAGCCTGAAGCATTTTTTATTTCTTTTCACTGTTCATAGATGTTTGGCATGTCTCTGGATGGCCACAGTACAAACAGAATAGAACCTGATCAAGGCAGTCTCACTCTGGCACTTCTAACTCTCACAATTTTACAAACATGCATGTATACAAACACATAGCTTTCTACAAACAAATTCTATACACATAGAACACATTCTCTGAAATATTACGGATTAAATCAGACAGAAAGGATGACTGTGACCTATGACTTAATCCAAAATGCTTGGATGTCTGAGTAAACATGCACGTGCTTTTCTTTTGCAGTAGGTCTTGCAGAACTGGCACCAACCTCTTATGTGTCACAGACTGATATGGATCTCATCTTGACAGGCATTAAATCGTTAACTGTAAAGAGAACACAATTGTGTTCGAATGTGGGCGTGTTTTTTTTTCTTATATCCGATATATATATTCACGTAAAACATGTACATCAATGTGATACCATTACACCAGTCCTATCCAATCTCACTTGAATAGCATACAATTTTCAGTCTCCTGAGGTCGACATAGACTGTAGTAACGAAAATCTTAGCAGGATGCCTGTTTGGCATCTCTCTGATCCCCATACAAGAAAAAAACAATAAAACAGCAAGTTGGTTTGAATGGTGATTCTAAATCCTATTAATGGGCATGAGTGTGCGTGGTTGTTTGTCTCCTTTGTCTCCGGCATGACTCTGAGATGTGCTGGCAACCTGTCCAGCGTCTACCTGGACCTTTAGAATTTCCTTGTAAAGAGAAGGTACTGGAATTCTGTCCTTTACAAACCGGGGAATTTACCGCCCCTCAGTGACTACGACAGTGACATCACCAGGTGCCACAGTGTCTGTCAACTTCGTAGTCAGTGTCTGTGTCCCACACACACACTCTTTCCCTCTTAGGACCAGTCAGACTGCCCTGTCCTCCACCTGTCTCCAGTGTTACCTGCCCCAGTCATTAACAGGGTCCCAGAACCCTGGTGTAAGTACACATGTCAACTGCAAAATTACAGGGCTCGCACACACATATTTGTTTTGTATTTTTAAAGGGCAATATCTGTCTGCACGCAAACTATATGTTCGTTTTCTCTGCTGCTTGCTCCTCCTTTTCTTTCTTTGACAGATCTGATAAACACAGCACATAGGGTTCAAAGACAGGGGGTGATGGACATGCACTGGTGGTGTGGCTTTTTGTAATGACAAGGGGAAACTCATTATTTCAACCTGGGTTCTTTGGTCTGTGTGGACTTAACCAAAGTGATTACAAGACTCTTTAAGTATAGCTGTATCTCAACTTTGTTGTTCCACTCGGGTCCTTTTTGCTAAACTAATTAAGGAGTGTCTTCAGTCAGTGTATGTACTGATTGCTTTATAAAAGATTTGATATTTTGACAGAATGAAAAATGAGTGTACAGACAAGTTTGACAACAAGGAGGCAAAGTGAAAACTCCTTTGACTGAAAGATAAAGCCATCATCAGATAATGACGTCAACCATACTTTTCGCTCCATTACTTATGGCACATTGAAAATGACACAAAAGACGGACACGCAATCAAAGACACTCAACACCTGAGCACTTTTTTAACTGTCCTTTTTATCCTCAGCTCTTTCAGCAAGCTGGCTTTGGGTAACCTGAGTGCTCTCTTTCCCTTTTCAACAAGATCAGCACAAACAATGACAAACTTCTGTCCTCCTCGCTTAGACTGACTTTGTCCCATTGTTAATCTTATTTACATTTTTCAGCTGAATTAAATCAGGGCAGTGTGTCTGAATGGATACTGACAGAACCACATTAGTCCTGGCACCACTATCAAGTGACTCTATCTACAGACAGCACAGGATTTGTTTTTAAGGCTTAAATACAAAATGGATGTTTTGTTAATAATGAAAGCTTAATAGCACTTTCTGTATTTTGCCATTGTCCGGGCCACACCGAAACTACCACATCCAAAGGGATTTTCCTGTCATTCGTGTTGCGCTTGCATCCATCTTCTTTGTGTGCTGTAATTTCCCCACCTGGATCTTCAATAACATCCTGTTGTCTGGGGACTTCTGAGGCGACAGCTCTGACTGACCCTCCACCACATCATGCACTGTTATCCTGGCCCTGGCTAATGACAGCCAGACAGGAAGCTGTCCCTTGTGATGTCTGTTTTTAAAAGCATCCTTATTATTGCTTGTGTATTGCTTTGTGGTGTTGGGATCCCTTGGACTACTATCATTAATTTAAGTGTTTGTGGATTGACTCGAACAGTCCGATAAACATAGTATACTGGGTCTTGTGACGATGCCATTTATAAGAAATGGGGGCTATTTAACACTTGAATCGCTGTAAGAAATGACCAAAGCAAACAGATTAAACCTGTGTACATCCGACAGAGTGATGTAAGGACTTTTGTTGAAATTTCTTGTAAAACCACATTGTGTAGAGATAGGTGTAGAGACTATGATGTCAACCAGTATTTCGAGTGGCCATTTATGAGAGGAACATCTTAAGTTGTCATGTAGCAATCTGAATGAGAAAGAAACAATGTATTGCACCAAAGTCCAATTAGACAGAGGATGAGGACATTCTGGTTTAAAGTTCCCATGCATCCCTTTTACTCATTATTCTTTGCATAGCTTTTCATAGGTTGAGCATCATATATTTTAACAAAATGTTTCATCAGAAAATGTGCGATAGGTATGTCTGTCCACGTCTGCAAAATAAAGTTGCGCCTCAATCTTAATCTGTTGCAGTTTGACTTGATGGAATTGCAGATCTAAATGAAATGCAAGCTGCCTAACATTTGTGATGTTCTTTTTGTATTCCTAACCATGTACCTACAACTGATAGCAAATCTACACCACCCAAAGCTTAAATGAGAGCAAAGTCGGAGGGTCTTTGAAATATGAGGTTCAAGGGTTAGAGCGGCCATTGCTCAAACAGAGGGCCACTGGGCTGAAACCCAGTTTCTCCAATATACATGTTCAGGTAATGTGCTAAACCATGCAATCTCCCTCAGATGTAAATAAATGAAAATGTGGTTAGAAAAACCCATGGTCTATGCTTTGAAGATAATAGATGTAATTCCAGTTCTGTGAGTACACTGTAAAGATCAAATGACTCAGGGTGAACACGCAACTATTGGCAGTTGAAATGGGCAATTATATCAGCTTTCAATAGCAAATATCCTAACTGCTAAAAACATGTTTAAACACGATACTTTTGATAAAGGAAAAACAGTTAATATAACTTTGTTCAATCCACTACAGGTTTTGGTGCTCATGTTTCTACAAAATTGTCCTTTGGTACATTAAAACAGACAGGCATAATTACTGTGATGGTTATTGGGATTAATTTGCTATATGAGGAAATTTGAGGAATTTTACTAGGATGAGAAAACGTTAGTCATGGCCAGAGTGGCCTTTCATTTTTCCCATATTGCTGTACTTAAATTGCGCAGGAGTGTTTAGCATGTTATAAATATAATCACTTAACATTTTAGTGTCTGTCTGTGCATTTTTATCCTAATCAACGTTGTATATCCACAGATTCTGCTTTCGACAACATAAAATTTGTATACATCAAATGAAAACTATCATTTTGCAAGAGCCAGGCAGAGTCAGGCGATGTAGATTTTAAAATGGGATAACCTTGTAGTAACCCTGGGTAGTTACCACACAACAGGGGGTTATCCCTCTTTGTCTCTTGCAACGGAGACAGGTGCTTCCGACTATGGGGGACAGATCACCGTTGACACTGAACAATGGAGGAAAACAAAGAGAAAAGGAGGTGTGATTCAAGCGTGGACACCTCCAGTTCTGACCAGCTCTGTGTCAAATATGCGAGTGCTGAACTCAACTGTTCTATGAGCATAAAAAGCCAGTATGGACACATTCATTCAACCCTCAGTGTTTTACTCTCCCCAGGTTTTTAGAGAAGAACAGGGTTGCAAGAGGACAATAAGGCTTTTGGTCATATTGGAGTAAAGGGGCAAACAGGGACAGTTGCCCTCAACGCTTACAAGAGTGTTCCTGGAGTTGAGGGTGGATGGCAATAAAAAGGCAACATTTTAAAGCTTTAACCTCCACTTTAGAAAAACTGGATATTTCCATCAGAAGTGGCAACATCTATCAGCAAAGCAAAATAGCAACGACATGTCATCAGCAGTGACTTAATCTCATAAACATTTTATTAAAAATATTTTCTTAAGAATTAAGGAAATACCATACCTCAAACATTTCATGTCTTTCAGGTGCACCAATGTCCCATGTTCCTTGTTTCACTTCAATTTTGAATTCCCCTTTAAGTGGAGATTTTATCATAGGAAATCTGTACAGCTCTTTTTCCATGCTTCCAAAGAATTTTACGATGCTGAAGAGCGTGACAGCTCTGACAAATTGAATGTAAAAGTGAAAATGCAGTGGAATTAACTGGAAGAAAATCTAACTGTGTAATCGGCTGTGGTATACAAACAATGCTCTCCCGTTAAATGGAAGCGCGGAAGTCTATTTAAACCTGTCTTGCAATCTTATGGAATGTAGTGTTACAGACAAATTGCACGACATGCCGACTGAGCAACGAGGAAAAGGATCACTGCCATAATTTTCCAGCGCGAAAGATCAAAGCTGTTCATATTTAGGCCTTTACTCACGCAAAACAAAATACAGCCAAGTTTCCAAATCACAAATACTAGCTTTTAGGAGCCTAATTTCCTCATACTAAATCATTCACACCAGTGGATCTATTGGTTTCCTTAAAGCTAATTAACCTTGTCAAGTGCTATCAGTCATTGTGTAAGAGTGGCTGCCACAGGTACTGATGGTCAAATCAGGTCTGATTGATTAAGTAATAAGTGGAGGAAGGAAGGGAGGGTAGGATGCTGCACAGAAAGAAAGAAGAGTGAGGGGCTGACCTCTTTCTTGCTTTGTCAGACAGATAAGAGAAGTGATGTAGATCCTCGGTGGACTCAGATGACCTTTAACTAGAGACCTTCAACACTATTGAAAGCCAGTCCAAACTATTTACACAGTGAAAAAAACAAGTTTGTTCCATATGTAGGTGTTCATATTGTTTTAATGACTTAAAACCACTTTCATTTTTGTCTAACCATTGCATGCCTTAAAGCTATATCTACAGAAAGTCGTACAGTTGGGAAATTGTAAAAAAAAAAGAAAAAAAAAAAAGAATGCTGAGTGCACTACTCGGGAAGTTGGTTTGAAAATGTGAAAAAAAAATTAAATAAAAACACAGCAACTCTTCATTAAAACAGCATCTAATTCCTTCTTCAATAAGTCGTTTTACCATTTTGCACCAACAGGGGGCGATATTATATTACTCCACCATTGTCATCTCTTCTTCTACATGTGCTTGTTGTCTCTGTATGCAGGACGTCTCCTCTGACAAAACCTGAGCGCTTAAAGTTGATGATTTACAGACTCATTTTTACACCTCTGCTACATTCCCTGGGTCGTCTTTGTTTGAAGCGCCACTCCCGAACGCTGGTCTCAAAAATGGCTTTTCAGTATCCACAGGCTTACCGTGACGAGGCAGTAGTAAGTAAATGTAACTCGCTAACTAGCTTAGCGTCCCATTTAGCCGGGACGCGTAATCATGCGTTTTCATTCATTGACGTGAGCGGCTGCTTTGTTAGCATGCTAGCTGGCCTGTTTTCACAGTTGCTGCAGATTGCAGTTAGGTGGACTCATATCAAATTAGCCCTAAACTTAGTACAATTCGTGCTTTCATTCTTGTTAGATAATATTTCCAGATGTTTTTTTTCTTTATTTTTTGCATTGTAACTTGGCGGGCCCTGCTGAGCTTATTTGCTGTATTTTATGGTGCCACACCTTGTTGGATGACACTTTAAAAGCTGTCATTGCTGTCTCGCCTGTCTCAGGTTGATAACTATCATGGCTGCAAAGTTCCCGATCCATACAGCTGGCTGGAGGACCCCGACAGTGAAAAGACTCAGGTAAACTCTCACCATTCCCTATTATCTCTAATCGACTCCATGAGTTGATTTGCAGTTGTGTTTTTTGCAACTGCAAATCTGCTTTGTATCATAGACATGGTTCCAATTAGTTTTATATTCTATTTGAAGCATTTTTAAATGACGTATATCTTGGCTTGTGTTATAGAAATGAATAGGCTTTGCCTTTTTGTTTGCATTGGATGTGTACTTACACGTACACCGCAGGGTCTGTGCATAACTAACTGCACAAACAATCCAGTAATGAGTAAATATTCCCCCAGGCCTTTGTCAGCGCTCAGAACCAACTGACGCTGCCGTTTCTGGAGCGCTGTGAGGTGCGAGACCTGTTCAAGGAGCGCATGACCGAGCTGTACGACTACCCCAAGTACAGCTGTCCCTTCAAGAGGGGAAGCAGGTGAGGCAAGCTGCAGCGGAATCTGTGGTAAAGCGTGGGCTTGTTGTCGTAATGTCTTCAGAATTTCATGAGAAGGGGTGGGCTGTCGTGGTTACATCTGTCGCTGCGCTGAGTTGGCCTTTTCCAAGTACTCTATTGTCTGCCACAATGTCTAAGTCGCACAGCTTTCAGGTGGAGGTGTGCAGATGTGTGTTTGACAGAAGTAGGCAAGAAATCATTGGCTTCTGTAAAAGCAGGTAATGTCTCCAAGAAATTAAGAAGAGCGTTTTGGCTCATTTTTAGAACATTTGCATTTTTATGTAACATTCTCAAACAAAAATGTGAGAGCTTGATGTCAGAATCCTTCTCTGGCAATTACCACAATTAGGGCAAATTGAAGCTTGTCTTCCAGTCGGTTTTCCCAAAATCTGGGAACACTGAAGCTCTTAGTTGGTTGAATAAAAAAAAAACTGTGATTCTGTACTGTACAAACAAAAATTTTATTTTTTACATATTTACCGGGACGCTGGTTCAATAACAATGTGCATTTCAGATACAAGAAGCACATGCCTTTGAAAGTCCCGTGTTGGCTTGTTCCAAACTTTGCCCTATGTTTGCAGGTACTTTCACTTCTACAACACAGGCCTCCAGAACCAGAGTGTGATGTATGTGCAGGAGAGTCTGGATGCTGAGCCCTCAGTCTTCTTAGATCCAAACACTTTCTCTGATGATGGAACCGTTGCCCTGCGAGGTATAAACAGAATACAAACCACTGAAGAATTGAAATAAGAATTGCACAAAACCTTTTACTTTGACTGTGATTCCTTTTCTCAAAGCACTGCGACAGAATAGTTGCTTAATATGATAATAATAAACCTCCTGACATCCTTGTTTACAGTATGTTTCTTTCCCTTTTTCCTTTATTTCTGTTTGCTGCAAGGCTATGCATTCTCTGAGGACGGGGAGTACCTGGCCTATGGAACCAGCGCCAGCGGCTCAGACTGGGTGGAGATGCGCTTCCTGCGGGTGGAGGGCGCCGTGCCCCTGGAGGACCGTCTTGAACGGGTCAAGTTTAGCTGCATGTCCTGGACTCATGATGGGAAAGGCCTTTTTTACAACTCCTATCCTGAGCAAGAGGGAAAAAGTGACGGTAAGTTAGGAACGGATTAAGGAGCCTGAAATCATAGTGGAAACGTGGAAATAAATTACCGACGATAGCTCAAAAGACAATGCATTTAGCTGTACCCATTTTGTTCAGTCTGAGGAGTGTTTTCTGTCGTGGTCCTCAGCTCTCACTTCCAGCTCCTATACCTTTTATAGGCAATATAATATGTGATAACAGTCTCCACTGGATGCATACATAAAGGTGAAATTTGTCTCTGTCAGGCACCGAGACCTCCACTAACCTTCACCAGAAGCTGTACTTTCATGTTTTGGGGACTCCGCAGTCCGAGGACGTTCTGTGCGCTGAATTTCCCGAGCACCCCAAATGGATGAGTGGGGCTGAGGTATGCCAGAGTTTTTTTTTTTTTTTTCCCCTTTTTCCACAATGACTTTAACAGACGGCTGGTGTTAGCTGATATTCAAAACACAGTTTAGTGACGGCGTGTTTATTGCAGGTATCCGATGACGGGCGCTATGTGCTGCTGTCTATCAGAGAGGGCTGCGATCCGGTCAACAGGTTGTGGTACTGTGACCTCCAGACAGCTACTCAGGGTATCACAGGTATGTCTGACCCCTCCAAAAGGAAGAAAGAGAAGCTTGGTGTGACATTAAAGCAGTGCAATCAGAGCAATAAACCACTCATCTGAGATGGTTTCATATATGTTTTGTCCATAGGCTCAAATTACCACACCTATGGCTACCTCTTGAAACCTATAACATGAGTAGATTTTATGGGGATGGAAGCACCTCATCATGCTTCTGCAGACGTCTAAAACCTCTGTGGAAATGTAGCCAAAATAACGTTTTCCTTCAGGCATAAATCATCTTTCAGCTTCTGGAAAAACAGCTGTTAATATTCTCTGTGCTCTTGGTGGAAACACAGATTTGTTTAGTGCAGTTTGCCTATTTATTTTTATAATGATGAATGAACGCTCAGTGTTTGTCACGTAAAGACTAAAAAGAACAATCTGATTTGATTGTTTTCTTTTTTTGTGCAGGACTTTTGCCATGGGTGAAGTTAATTGACAACTTCGATGCGGAGTATGAATACGTGACCAACGAGGGCACTTTGTTCACCTTCAAGACCAACCTGGACGCCCCGCGTTACCGGCTCATCAACATCGACTTCGCCTCTCCCGATCAGGGCAACTGGAAGGAGCTCCTCGCCCAACACGACAAAGACGTCATTGGTGAGCCGCTGGATGCTCCTGATGTCTGTTCGTCCAGAACTGCTCCGCTGAAACCTGAAATGCATTTCAACTGGCCCTGTTCTGTCCCCTGTGCGATGTCTTCCCTACAGTGTTTGCCACCTGCACATACTCCAGCTATCTGTTTGTGTGTTTCCTCCACGACGTGAAGAACGTGTTGAAGATGTACCGCCTGAGTTCAGGGGAGGAGCTGAGGACATTTCCTCTGGACGTTGGCTCCATTGTGGGCTTCACCGGCCGAAAGAGGGACTCGGAAATCTTCTACTATTTCACCTCTTTTCTGTCGCCAGGTACTGGCTAGCTGAGTGCTTGCATTGTTCAGTTGTGTATGTTTTTCTTAACGTAATAATGCTGTATGAATATTCTCTATTTTGTGTTTGAAACTGTGAAAGCATTGAAGAGCTACATTAGCTTAAATCAGGCGAATAAGTGCAAAGTCGTGATAGCAAAAAGCCCACCGAGTCCTCCAGTAAACAGTGCTGATTTATTACAGGAGCATAATTTCATTTAATTAATGACTGAAGCAATCAGCCAAGACACGCACAAATTAAAAAGTGTTTAGGACTTGCAAACAAGCAGAATTAATCAGGAGAGAATAGCTTGCTATGAAAAAAGGGTACATGGCGTTACTCATGCAAACATGAAGAGAAACATTTAACACTACCATCATCAACTGTCAAAGCTTCCTGTTTAGATCGGGTTAAACACCAGTTTATCTGGTGTTCTTCATTAAATAATGGACATTAAAACTGCCCTAAAGTTTTTCTAACTAGACTTATAGGTTGTGAACAGCAGATAGTCGTTGAGAGACAAGAGCAATGAGTCATGACAGCAGTAGGATTTTGAATCACCTTTAAATGCTGGCTATCACACGGGTTTTTTATTGCGTGCACTCAGAGCAGTTTATAAAAAAATAACTCTCAAACCCCCCCCAGCTATCATTTACCACTGTGACCTGACCAAAGAGCCACTGCAGCCACACGTCTTCAGAGAGGTCACCGTCAAGGGTTTCAACCCCTCTGACTACCAGACCACCCAGGTAAGGAAGCCTTTGAGAGCTGTTTGAAAACTTAAAGTTATATTCTTCTTAACTCTGTTTTCAGATACACCGAATCTTGTTTTGTTATACATGCCCCGGGGCTTGTACTGGTTTCATTACTCCCTCTGTTATATGTAACAGATTTTTAAAGATGCGATTTTAAGATTGTGGAAGTTGTATTGCCATATCTGCTGAATAAATGGGCAGCTGTGGGCAGTCTGAATGTGACTATTAGTGGAATCTTTTGCACATACCAGCTTTCTGTTGAGTGAAGCACTTGTAAGTTGGAGGAACAATATGGAACAATGGGATTAATTTGCCACAGTTGTAAGCTTATAACGGACGGCTTGCTCCGGTGGCATGTCAGTGCCTGTGATGGAGCAGTTTTTCACTTTGGGACTTGAAGACTGCTATCATATTGTTCCTGCCATCTGGGGGTGGCTGACATTTTATCCGACTCAGGAGCTCTGAATGCAATTTGTTGTTGTTTTTTCTGCTGAGGTGAAAATTGCTGGAAATAACAAAGTAAATGTGAAAATGTGCGCGGCCCCGAAGGGAAAGATTTTCTCAACTCGTTTTTTTGTTTTCTGAGTGCCACACAAGAATAGACGTGAATGGCTTAAGCTTCATTGTTCTCAGCCATCTCATAATTCCATTTTCTGCCCCCTCGGTTTCCATGACGATCTTTTTTTCTGTTTTATCAGATCTTCTATCCCTCCAAGGATGGCACTCAGATACCCATGTTTATTGTTCACAAGAAGGGCATCAAATTGGACGGCTCCCATCCAGGTTTTCTGTATGGCTACGGAGGCTTCAACATCTCCATCACACCGAGCTACAGCGTCTCCCGCCTCATCTTTGTCAGACACCTGGGAGGCGTTCTGGCAGTGGCCAACATCAGAGGAGGAGGAGAGTACGGAGAGACCTGGCACAAAGGTGGGGCGCTTCACACATTATCAAGTTTTTTAGCACGAAAACAGTCGGATCATGTGGACTTCCAGGCACCATGTAGACATCTGATGCCCCAGAGGGCAGTTGGGAGTGCCCAAACAAAGGATTTGCATTGTCATGCTTATAAGAGGATTCGGTTAGCTGATAAATGAACACTTCTCTCCAAAAACCTGTTTTCAGTTTGTAAGTTTGGAGAATTGGAAGTGGACTAATTTAGAAAAAAAATAAATAATAATAAGTCAATCTGTTCACAAAAAAGTTTGAAATATATAAAAATGTTGACAATATGAAAGTAAACTTGTCTTTAAGTTTTTACTGTGTGTAAATTGATTTGAATAGATTTTTCAATTTTGGATTTTTACCATGACACAGGGGGGCCATATATTTCAGGAATTTCTAATCGGGCAATCTTACTTTTTATATTTAAAAAAAATACACACAAACTGATTTCTGAAGCAAAACGCATTATGTATCGTTAAACATACTTTAAAAAAAGACTTCAGAGTGTTATGAGCAACAATCCTATGTCCATGCTTTGTGTTTCTTTTCAGCTGGGATGCTGGCAAACAAGCAGAACTGCTTTACCGACTTTCAGTGTGCAGCAGAGTATCTCATCAAGGAGGGCTACACATCTCCCTCCAAACTGACCATAAACGGAGGCTCCAACGGAGGCCTTCTTGTCGGTGTGTATGCTCTTGAAGAATACCGGCGCATTGTAATCTTGGCCGGTATCTGTGTGTTATTTATAATTGTGTTTCGTCCCTCAGCCGCCTGTGTGAATCAGAGACCTGAGCTGTTTGGCTGCGCCGTGGCTCAGGTGGGCGTCATGGACATGCTGAAGTTCCACAAGTTCACAATCGGCCATGCGTGGACCACCGACTTTGGCTGCTCAGAAAAACAAGAGCAGTACGAGTGGCTCATCAAGTAGGTGCTTTTCAAGCAGATCCTGCCGGGGATCACTGGCTGCAGATCTGTAGCTCATTTGTCTTTTTTTTCTTTTTTTTTTTTTTTAATCATAACGACTCATTTGTTTTCGTTTAACCCTTTCGTCTTAATTAATGGGAGCATTTGGACTCTGCTTTCCATGGGTTATACGATCAGGGTGATCATGGGAATGATAAAAATGAGCTGCTGAGTGAGTGTTACTGCTCATTTAGGAGGCTTTCTGCTCATTATCTACCAGCTCAAACAGAGACTCAGATCATTCATTCACTTTTTACTACTTCTCGGACTAATGTAACAAACTAAGTGTTATCTATAACAAATAGTTGCAAACTGTTGGTTAGTTTAAACATAACCTGTTTAATGCAGATTAAAAAGGACAACTTATCATTTCCCTCTTCTTCTGTGTCCCAGATACTCCCCTCTGCATAACATCCACATCCCAGAGGGCAACGGGGTCCAGTACCCGGCCGTGCTTTTGCTGACGGGGGACCACGACGACCGGGTGGTGCCGCTCCACTCCCTGAAATATATCGCCACCCTGCAGCACATCGTAGGTCGCAGCTCAAAGCAGACAAATCCCCTGTTCATCCTTGTGGACACAAAGTCCGGCCACGGTGCCGGCAAGCCAACCAGCAAAGTCATCCAGGAGGTGGCCGACACCTACGCCTTCATCGCCCGCTGTCTGAACATCTCCTGGGTCAAATAGCCTGCACCTCCACCTAACATGCGTGTTTTGGTTTGTCTTATCTTCCTTTCAAATTCAAATTCGAAAGACTAAGACTGTTCATCCCAGCTGGCATGTTCTTTATAACGCCTAACTTGTAAGTCAACGGTTCAGCCCATGTGGACTCCACACCCTGATCACAGGGTAAGCCGCTCAGTCCCTACAAAAAGTATTACCGTTACAGTTCAGAAATCTGCTCCTCAGCCGTCATGAGGGCTCACTAGCAGGAGGCTGATTTGGATCCAACACAGTGTGTGTTATTTATTTGTTGTTTGGACGCAGAATGGATTGTTGGACACCACAGGATCTGAGATCGCACAGGTCTGAGAGCGTTGTGTAACTGATGGTCCTGCAAGTCGACAAAGTTGCTGTTGTGTGGATAAAAGCGAAAAAAGCACTTTGTGTCGTATGCGTGTGTGTGTGTGTGTGTGGCTGTGCGAGAGTTTGTGTGCAAAGATACATTACAGTTACATTTCTTTCAGGCTGATGATTTCTACCTCTTGACTTGTGCTGATTGTTTGCCTTCACAAAGGGAGCAGAACACAACGCCACAACTACAATAAACTTTTTAAACGGTGATTCGTCACCTTTCATTCTTCAGAAAATATCGAATCAGCTTCTTTATAACTCTAGCAACCCAGTGAAGGGAATTTGACCAGATCCAAACTACTAATGTTAGTGTCTGAAATGGCTTGTAAAGACCAAATGAAAGCATTTCACAGCTATTGAATCGGGAGTTCCGAAAAGCCCAAATTATTTAGTTCAGACAGGAGATTAAATTTATTTTGACATCATATTTACTGGTATTTTTTAATCACTCCGTGCGTTTCAGCGGGCGCTCGGCGGTGGCGGGTGAGAGCGGTCGTGGCTGTGTGTGGTCCTCCAGCAGGTGGCAGTCAATCTGCAGGGCACCAGCATACAGCCGGGGCACACCATCAGGGTGGTCTGACACAGGGCCCCATGCAGAACCCTGAATGGGAACCTTTACAGTTTTAAAGGTTTTTTTTTTTTGTACGCTTTGATGTTTGCGAAGTCTGTTCTCAGCAGTCAGAGTTCTTCAGGTGTTGCTTTAATGATGACTTGAGTCGCATTTAGAGGAAAAGTTAGCCATGCAGAAACTCAAAAAAATGAAAAAGTGATAGTATTGAGGAAATTCTTTCAATGTTGGGTTTAGTTATTTTTTTCTTTATTTCAGAACTCCAAGTTAGAATTTTTTTCTGCACAAAATGAACATCAAAGAAAAGAAAAGGTTTGTTACTTTCTGATTTTTCCATGAAGGGAAAAGAAACTGCATGTTTTCATGTTTTTAGCTGTGAAACTTGTTTAGATTTGTTCCCTTTATTTAGGGTATATTATTCTCAAATCCAATATTTATTTTGCTGAGTTGCAGTTGAGACATTTGGGCCTGAAAAGTAGTCAGTGACAGCAAAGTGAACCACTTTTGCAGGACACCCCTCCATCGCAATGGTAAACCCATTTCTTTGCAGTTGTGATGTTATTGTTGAGCTTAAAGCTCCATGAGTTAACTTAAATTTAAACAAACTTGGATGCTGTTTGAAATCATGCACGATTTTCAAAATAAGTACAAGTTTTTATAAAATAAGATTTTTATTTGATGTAAAAGAGTCCTGACACAACAATCGCTTTTACAGCGTATGAAGCACCTCTTCATTCGTTCCTGGAGAAAGCAGATGCACACAAATATTTTCGCCTTTAGAGAGTTCAAATGTGAACATTTTAATTCCATTTTATTAATTACAGTTTCTACAAAAACTTAAACCATTAAAATAAGAAGAATATTTATATTTTTAAAATTATTTCTAACGAAAAAACTAAGGTTTGGACGTGTTTGCACAAACTTTTCTTATTCTGAAGTTGCTCAGAACGAACAAAACTGTAAAGAATTGTGTCCCGCTCCTCATTCCAAAATCTACAATATCTCTCTTCAAGTTTTGAAGGTGAGAATAGTCAAGGGATTTTTATGGTCATGTAACAGATTTTCTGATTAACTTATTTTAGTCTTTAAATCAAATGAACTGCCTGAGCATTAAATGGGAGGTAACTCGGGTATCTGGCTGAAACTGAAACGTTTATGCCATATAACTGCAGTTAAGGTTCAGTTAAACATTTGATAGATAAAATCAAAACGTTTATCAAGATAATTATATGTATAAATCATTCCTGACTTGATGTTGACCCCAAAAAAAGGAAATTATATAATAAAGCACACTTCACCTTGGTGAAATGGTAGAAAAAATAACTATGTAGTTTCTATTTATGAGACTGGAGGCCTTCTATTAGACCAAACTTTGAAAAAGTTGAGGAAAACCCCCCTGTTCATGTGACTGTACTCAGTTTTTTTTACAAGATTTCATGGTAGTTAATATGGCATTAGTAATCGTTCATGTAATTTGTCTGATTACACTCGACACCCCAAAAGATAGTCCAAGGGAATTTAGAAAGCTTTGACTTTAAGAAAATCCTAAAATTCCTTTTTATTTATCCTAGAAATATATCTCTAACCAAATTACACATGTCATTCACTTTTTAATAACTGTACTCTCATAACTAATAAGACGTCAATTACAAAGCCATCCCTGAGGCTTTTGAAGCACTCCTGGGAAGACCTACTTCTTCTCCCTCTCAAAAAGCTGGTCCAGCTTCGGTTGGAACTCTAAACTACGACTTGTGGCCTCGCGCCTGCACGTACGGACAGGTGAGCAGAACCAACAGGTGGCGCTGGACAGACCCAACGATGCTGTCACAGCCTACGAGGAACAACACGGTCTCGAACCTTAGAACAGAGAAAACAAACACTTTCAGGGTTTGCAGAACAAGCTCACACCCGCACATAAAGGAAATGGCTCTGAAATTTCCCAAACAACCGTTATAAAAAACCAAAATACCTTCACAAAATTGTTAGCAAACAGTCAGCCACTACAACCGCTTCGAGTCCGAACTAGTTGGAAGGGTTCTGATTGGATGAAACGTTTGAAGACGTTGTTAAATGTCCAATGATCACACACCTGTGACTGTTTTGAAATATGAATGCGCCAACCGGAAATGACCACACAACCTCCTCTACAGAATTATGTTACTTGGCGGAAGACAATTAATTGATTAACTACATGGTGTCTTTTGGCATTTTTTTCAGGATAAAAAGGGATCATATAGTACATATTTGACTTCATGAAGTAGCCGACTCTATCTATCTATCTATCTATCTATCTATCTATCTATCTATCTATCTATCTATCTATCTATCTATCTATCTATCTATCTATCTATCTATCTATCTATCTATCTATCTATCTATCCGTTGGGAATATGGACTCCCATTTTCTCGTGTGTCATAGTGAAAGTGAAGGTGTCTGTCTTCAGTGAACCGATGGGTGGCGCTCTTCCGGACGCCCAGTCTTTTATTCTGATCAGGTCCCCAGGACCCACTGATCTGGGGCCAGCTGAGTAGTCCTGTTTACTGGGAATTACAAGCCTTGAGTGACCGGAGAGCAGGTGTCAGATCAGTGGGAAAAGTTAGGGAGGTTGAGGGAATTGTTACACCAAATTCCCCAAGTTATTTAAATGTATGGGCTTAATTGTGCTTCTCTGGTGATTGTTCGTCGTCTGGGGGGGAAATGCTGATGCATACATTTGAAATGAAAACGTTTTCTCCACAGTGTGTTGTAGATGGAGTCTGTTTGTGGACAGGCTGGGTGGGGGATGTGAAGTATGGATCTTTATCAACAAGGGAGCAGAGGAGATGTGGGACTGTGTTGGGGGAGGCCACAGATTCCACATGGTTTAAAGCTCGGGAGTTCGACAAATGGCGCATCAGCATTTTTGAAAAGGGAAAACTTGAATGATTTTGCTCCTGAAATGCTCGAAACCAAGTAAAACTCCCCAGAAGTTTCACCTCGTCGTTTCAGACAACATTGACCGGAAAAAAAACCTTTTGGGAGAATTTCGAGAGGCGCAATGAAACAATGGTCCTCATCCATGAGGGGCTTTTTGGAAATGCTTCTCCAGATCTGTGCCACAGCCTCGTAGCAATCTGTTGGCCCACAGCAACACATTTACATCAAATCTGGCCCTCGCGCAGCCACAGCTTGTGTTACAGAGGCACTATAAAATATTCATCCATGGAAAATCTCTTTGATTCCAGTCGGTCATTTAGCCCCACGCGCCATGCAGGTTAAAGTCTAAACATGTAATTCAGACTGGAGCGTCGGCAGAGCTGAAGTCCATCCTTCCACAACTGGAACACGTTCAGGAGAAACTTACAATCTGCCTGTGCCATTGCATTTATTCACAGGGGAAAAAATCAGCATGTCCTCTCCCTCTCCTGCCTCTTCTACAGGTGAGTGTCCAGAAACGAACTGTTGTGGTTAATTTGCCATCATGAACTCTTTCCCCCTTTTCCCTCCGACCTCAAAGAAATATTTTACGCTTTAGTTCAGTTCACGGACTCAAGCTGACCCGTGTGTGAATGCTCAGACTGGTTCTCTATCATTATGATTAAAAAAAAAAAGATTATGTTCTCAATTACAACAAAACGCGACTTTAACGCGCAAAACGAAGCAGCTTATTTCTAGGAAAATAACAACAGAGGTACCCTGTCGATCCAAGTATTTAGAATGGAGTAGTTTAAATTAGATTTCAAGCAAAAATCAAATAACGCGGTCACTTTGTGGCATTCGTGAATCATCTTAATAAAATCCTAACAATATAATTCAATATTGAGGTGATTTTTGTGAGGGAAATCCATCACTGGCCGTCAGCACTGGCTTCTGCTGACCCTCATCAAAGCCCACATTAGCGGGATAAGAACTTCCAAAGGTGAGATGAGCCCATTGGCAAAAGTAAGCCTACCCCAGCGGAAAAATAAACCGAGTCTTCCAAACGGAGAATAGAAGGTGCAAACAGTTTTTGGAGGAAATGTGCGTAATTATTTTGTGCATCAGTGGCCATTGCGCCTCTACTCCAACCGCCCCCTCTCTGTGACGTCAGCGATAGTTCATTCAGGTATTTTCAGACTGTTTTACTCACTTCTGGAGAAGACTTAATGTCGGAATAAAATACTGATTCCGCCACTTAATTTACGCCTCAAAAAAGTTAACTGCGCCTTTTTTCTCTCCTGTTTGCTCCTACATGGAACGGAGTGGCGCAATAATCCTATAATCAATTTTAAAAACGTAAACGCATGTAGTTGAAATATTAACCGGACTGAAAACCAAACTGGAACAACGACGCAAAATAAAGAAAGAAAATAAACAAACAAAAGAATACATTTGGATTCCAACCCAGCAGATTTACTGTATGATTATAAAGCGGAAAATTAAGAGAAAAGTTCGTCGAGTTATTGAGCTTTATAAGCAGGCTATATATGTTTACCCATATAGATAGTAAAATTTGATCGGCCATATATACAGCTCGTGGCACACGCCTACTTTTGTGAGCTGTTTCTGTTTTTTTCGTTGACTTTAAATATTTTTAAACGAATTCTTTCAACGTCAGGGACGAAAAACTTCGACACAAAGAAAAAAAAACAAGGAACCATTTTGGTTTTACAGACACAAACCAAAACATTTTTGTTATATGACTCAAGACTTAACTCAGTAAAAAAAACGTTTCGACATAGTGAACGAGAACATTTGGAATTGTTACCAATTTTTTTTTTTTATCATTGGGGGGAAAAAGTCCCTAACACCTAATAAGAAAGTTAAATAAACAAATAAATAAATAAAGAGCAGGTTATATCTGATTGGCCAGCACTGTTTACACTTCCTTCTAATAAGAATAGGAAAGTGAAGGATTGGTAGCTGGAATGCATGAAGTAAACGACAAAACACAACCCCCTCACAAAAAAGAGGAGAAAAGAGACACGGGCTCAATGAACCCTTTGAACTGCATTGACAGCAGCGCAGTGTAAAGGCAAATTTCCTCTGGGAGTCTACATGGTGAGGAGTGGGGGTTGGGTGGGGTTAGCTGGGGTGATGGAGTGCAAAGTCTGCTCAGAAAGTTGGTATTCAAACAACTCAGGAATCTGGCTTTGTTCATTAGGTGCTCATAAATATCAGATCTCCAACCAGAATTCTTTGTATGTTCCAAAGGGGGGGTACTCGGAGAAAAAAAAAAAAGTTTTCTCCTCCTGTGCTCTGCATGCATGGGAAGAGTTTGGAGATGGCAGCAGCTCACAGGCATCCCCCACTTTGCTCGGGTTTAAAGATGTTTGGGGCAGCTCTCAGATGGAGACCTGTTGCTGTGTGAGGGGCTAAACCTTTATTTGAAATGTGTTCTGAGCTCACACCTTCACCAACACTTCACCAAGGAGGTGATGCTGCACATCGATGGGATATTCCCAGATAAATGTACGAAACTAAATACGATTTTTTAAAACATTCTTTAAATGTATCCATTTTTACTAGATATGAAATTTTGAAACTTCCCCAGAAGTCTTCAGAACTTTTCTCTACAATAAATAATTCCCCCCTGGGATTATTAAAGTATTTCTGATTCTGATTCTGAATCCATGAGTCCAGATCAGCTTTTGAAAACATCATTGTTATCCAGAAATAAAAAATGTTGTTAGTCTATTATAATTTGTGATCAACTGTTGATTACGAATTGTTCTCCTTAGTGATTTTGAGATGAAAATAATTTTCTTTTTTATAATGTAACACATAGAACACATAGTCAAAGTTTAATTCACTTTGATTCCCTTTGGGTTTGGATGATGGTGAAAACACAAAAAATAAGTCTGCACTAAAGCACTGTTGGATCATTCATGAAGGATTTCATGTTACCTGTTAAGGTTTCTGTTTCTTATGTTGAATTCAGAAACAGTTTAAATGAAACCTCGCTGATGTGAAAAACAGCCATGCCAGTTTTACAGCAAGCTCCTCACAACTCATTACAAAAACTTCATATCATAAATGATCACATTTTGTTTAATGGCAAAACTGAGATTAAAAACAAACAGGAATACAACTATGATTTCAGGACACAGCAAGTTTACAAAGCTTTTGAGCAAAGGAAGGATACTTCATGTCTTCTGCAGAGTGCTGGAGGTTGTAAAGGGATTTCAGTTGTTTTATTGAGGGTTGAACTCCCACAAACATGCTGTCTTCATCAGTAAAATGTGGAATACAATGCTCTTCTTTTTCTGTTAAATAAAAAAATCAATGTGGAGTAATACAAAGGAGGCAAAAATAAGATGAGGATCAGTGGTGGTGTTGATAGCTGGAATTTAATGGCTTCGGTTTTCCTCACAGGTCGGCTCATTATCGCTATTTTTTTGTAGCGTACGCAAACATATTAGAAAGTTAGCAAACTTCATATCAAACCCGAGGAATAAAACTCATTATAAAGTTTTGCTGATCATAAATTAGACTGATCACTCTTACAGTGGAACGAAAAGGGGAAGAAAGGATTACACAGAAAAAGGCCTGTTCCAAAATCAACCAATCAATGGTTTTGCTTTTATTTTGGTTGTTGGGGTCTTTACAAAGAGGTCCGCTGACCAAAGGAGCGTGGAAACAATTCTGTTGCAAAAATGCAGGTGAAAAGTGTGACTTTAGAAGGAGCACCTGGAAAGTGAGAAAGCTGGGTTTTGAATTCATTCTTGTTTGTGTTGTTGATGGATTTGATCTGAAACACAGTTTTTTTCCAATTTTTTTTTTACTGCTTTCCATTTATTTCCCTCCTTCAAAAGAAGGAACTGCATCAAAGAGATTAAAACTGCTGAAAATCTTCCAGATTTCTTAAATGTTATTATTCTTTATGTTAAAAGTGCCAGAAATGAATGAAACAAAATGCAAGTTTCTGTCAAACAGTGCAGCCTTGAAACAGATGAACTTTGTAATCCTCAGTAAAGATTTGCTTAGGGAACATTTTATCGGACGTTTCATCGGTTAATTGCCAACGGCACATTTTTCAGAGACCAACAACAGAGCTTGCAAAGAATTTTGATGCGCCAAAACCTCCGTGAATATCTGCTTAACAATTTCAAACGCCCCTTATTACCAAAACCAGGGATGGCCAAAGCCTCTGATAGCTGAAGCTGTTTGCACACGCCGGTGACTTTCACTGGGGCTGATTTCCCCCCGACTCGTCCCCATCAGAAAAGGTCCTGTCAGGATATGAGTGAGTGGATAAGATCTGACACTGGCATCCAATCCTGTGACCCAGAGCCTAATTCTGTGGCGGCTGGGGAGGCCTCCACATGCGAGCATCTTCAAAAACATTGGCCATTTTCGGCGGGGGCTGGGATGGATTGGATTTGGGGTTGGGGGCAAAGCCCGTGAATTCCGGAGGGTGGGCTCTTCTGCCCCCGGTGGGTGGAGATAGTGCTTGTTGTTGTTTCATTCCTCCAATGTGTTTTCCCCCCTTCTTTCTCCCCCGACCGGGAATAATCCCCCCTTGAGAAAAAAAACGTGCTGCCAGGGTTAGGTGCGAGATAAGGCGAGGAGTTTTCTCAATGAGCGGGCTGTTTTTTTTTTTTCTGCCCTGTTGTTGTGGAGCCGCTCCACGTCCTTGAGAAACGGCAGCCACGGCTCTCTGCAGAGCTCTGTGTGCGAAGGCGTCAAGTAAGCACAGAGTCTTCCTGCGAAGCTCAAACAAGGAGCAAAAGGAAGAAGAAAAACACTTCTTCAACTAAAGTTAATCACCAGTCAAGTTTACTTAAAAGCCTCCATAGAGACCACACAATCCTTAACCGGGACTAAACAGTTTCACACACGTCTTCCACAGTTCTCATTTTGCTCTCTTTTTCTTTTTGTGATGCAGACTAACACAAGTAAATAAGTCAAACACCTCTGGTTGGATGCTCCAGCTCCAAACCAGAGCCAGAAACTACTCACTTAGCCTTTGTAAATAACTATCTTGAGGGGGCTCCGACCCACAAAAGCTGACGCTCTGGATGTCAACTGAGGATCACACAACTGACAGTCTTCAGGTTGTTTTCCAGGGTTTTCCACTTACATTCCAGAGCCGTGAGTTCAGCTCTCCTCCGGTGCCCATTCGGATGCTGGGAGGCTACTGGCTGTGCGTTGCAGGAACATGAGCTCGCAGACATGTCCGCACTTTGTTTTTTACATAATTCATAAGTTCTAGTTTGTAGCTTCAGGTAAAAAAAAAGGGGGGATTTGAGTTTTCTGAGCGTGGCGGGTTGTTATTTCTTCACCAGAGGCGCTCAAATGAGATTTAAATCAGACTGCAGGAAAAATGGGCTCTGGAGCTGGAGTTGGACATTAGGAAGACGAACAGCACAAAGACAGACAAAGACTGTTTTTTTTTTTGTTTTGTTTGTTTGTTTGAATCATTTTACTGTTGTACCTGGCAGAGTATCTGATGTTGTGATGTTTTTTTTGTTTGATTTATTCCAAAAGAAAGTTGTCTTTTTTTGGGGGGGATTGATAATCTGGAAAAACAAACCTGAGATCTGTTTAGGGGGAAGAACTTTTGTGAGGCACATTTGGGTTTGTTGCAGCGGCTGACATTTTCCTGCATTATTGGGAACATATGGGACTGAAAAGGTAGTTAGTCATATATATATCTCCCTGTACATGTTCAGAATGGTTCCTGAAATGACAGAGCATTCAAGAAATGCATATCCAAAGAAAAGAGGGACTTAAAAACAGCCCCACCTATGTGGCTCAATCCCTGCTGTTGCCTTTAGGTGTGGAGAGCATCTTCTGCTTTTGTTGCTAATTGCTCGATTCATTACTCCCTTTTTTTTTTTTTTCGCTGTTGTGTGGATGTGTTTTGTTGTTGCCATGGCCACGCAATCATCCCACAGGGTCCATTAAAGCGTAATTTAATCCCATCTAATCATCTAATCTAATCTCGGGGCGCGTAATAGCCTTATGCGACCACGCCAGCCCCCCTTTCTGATACAAGAACCAAACGGACGGAGCAAACGTGTCCTCGCAGGGTGGGGGGGG